GCGAAGGTCCCGCTGAGTAAATTTACTCCAGCGAACGCTTGCGCGGGCGCCGACAGCTGATAACGCCGCAGCGCCCCAGAAACAACCAGATCACACGCTACGTCCTGATTGTTTCCTGGGCGCAGCCCCGCGCGGCGGGGCATCAATTTCGACCAACCGAACCTGGCCTGGGCAAGCGCAAATCAATCCCGCGCCTCCGAAGCAACCATGCGCGGAAGGCCGCGCAAGAAAACCGCGCACAAAGCGCGTCGTGGCCGCAAGAACGCGCCGCTCGGGTCGGCGCGCAGAAACGTAACGCACACGGGAACGGCATGCGCCATTTCCAAAGGGTACACATTCACCCCAGGTTGCACTCGCAGCTGGGGTTGAACGTTTTTGGCTCTCTGACGTTCATGTACCCCCTGGCTCCCCGTTCTGCGATGGGATGCTTCTGGAAGATCCACGCAGGCACTCGCCATGCATGTGGGGCTGTTGAAGAGAAAGCGGCCTGTTCTCAAAGGTATCACAGTCGGCGCGCACTGCAATCTGTCCATCCGAATTGACCATCAGCACCGTATGCAGCATATTACGTTCAGATGTGGCACTGGCACCGCTACGCGCACTCGCTGGGCTCTCGGTTCTGCGCGTGCGCAAGGAACGGCCGTATGGCATGCTGCCGTGGGGTGCTGGAGGCCATTGCGCGTCCCCTTCGGTTGCCCTCTCTACTGCGCCGCGGCCACTGGTCATTGGCGGGTAGCCCGGCTGGGGCTACTGCGGCAGGTCTCCTTGCAATATCTGCCGATTCGGCTGCCAGAGGCGTTGGTGCATCGGTGGCGGGCAGAGTGACCGCTGCATCCTGTCCCACACTTCAGGATGAAGCAGGTTGCCCTGCGCCCTGGCAGCAATTGCAAGGCCTGTCATCATCGCCGCGATGCGGTTCAGCTCTGCGCGGAGATCTCTGAGTTCATTTGCCCCGCGGAGTATTTCATCGCGTCGACCCGCTGCATTGTGCCCCCCAGCAAGGGCATTATACAACTCAGCCGTGATGGGGCCCACGCCCCCCACAAATGGCACAAGGGGCCTCGCTCGGGGCGCCTTGCAGCTGCCGATCTACATGTGCGTGAGCCAGACGATCCCAGCACTGCGCGTGGAATCTATGACCAAACTGGAGCCTCCATACCTTGTCGTGGTATACGAAGTCTTCCAGGTATATGGCGCAATTTGGTGAAATTACCATCGTTGATGATTGGTGGCGTAGCCGATGGCCTGATGCGAGTCTGTCGCTCAAGCGTGGACTCTCCAATATCATGCCGATTCGGGGGGGCTGCAGGTGCCAAGTGCTGTCCCACGGGCATTGATCCCATAGCAACCGCTGCTGAAAAGCTCATAGAAGGTTGCCCAACAAGTGTAGGCGCGGCGGGTGCCCCCGCACGATTCACCACGCGGCGTAGCCGTCGCTCCTGATTGCGGCGTTGGCGAGCCAGTTGCATTGAGGGAATGGCCTGCTGCGCCTCGTGGATGGCCAAGATCTCAGGGCGCAGCTCTCCCATAGACGAGGGTACCGCCAGCTCGCGGCCGCGATGTGTAACCTCCTGGTCCATGGGAGCCGCCAGGTACCCGCAGTGTGGCACCTGGCCTGATACGCCGGGTTCATACCCAGCGCCGCGCGTCAACTGGGACCCACAAAAGTCATCAGCAGTTGCCCGAAAACACGGGTTCTCTCTGGTTGAATACCAACCCGTGGGATGCCAGTCTCCTGAGCGCAACAGTCAGGGAACATCGGAGCATCCATGGGTGGGCCCGTTGGCCTTTCAGCCGCCGTTGGGTCGTGCGTCGGGTGACCGAAGGATGCTGGAATAACCAAATCGAATAGGATGATCAGGTGATGGATTCGAATCTGGAACGCATTCCCATGGGGGCGTCCAGGTCGCGCTCGGGAGGTCGATGCCATCCCGCAGCGCGTTCTGCATAGCCTCGCGCATCTGCCTCTGCATCCACTGCTGCTGCTGCCCCAAGAGGCCCTCGGCCCTCTGGGCGGACCCCTGGTGCCTCAGGGAGCCCCAAAACGGGCCAAGAGGGCCCCAAAAGGCCCACGGGACGGTCCAAGAGGACTACGAGTCGCCGAAAGATCGCTCCAAGACGCCCAAGAATGCCTCCAGACGGTCCACGACGCCCCAAGGAGCCACCAAGAGGCGTCCCAAGAGGCCCTCCAAAAGCTAAAATCGTCCCGCTCCTGAGAGAAAGCGTATAAGTTTAGCACATTCGCCTCTTGGGTTTTCACGTGGCCCACAACGGCCCAAGAAGCCTTTAAGATCGACCCAAGATACCCCAAGAGGCCCCCAAGAGGGCTCCAAGACGGCCCAAGAGGGCCTCAAGACGGCCCCAGAAGCTTCCAAAACGACTCAAACCCAAGATTCCCCAGAAATCGCTCCGAAAATTTTGTTTTTCACTCTTACTGCCGCCCCAAGGGATCGGCGGTGCGGCGTCAGCCAATGAAGCAGGGATCGCGATCACTGCGGCGCCCATGATTAGAGCCGGCGCTGGAAGGGAAGATGGGGAGGGTGTATGAAAGGGAGGGAGGAGGGAAAGGCCCAAAAGAAGTCCCCAAGAGGCCAAAAGAAACTCCCAGAAGGCCTCCAGGAGGCACCAAAAAGGCTTTTAAGAGGCCCCGCGACGGCGTGACTGTACGTGCTCCGGACGTGCACCCCGCGAAGCGAGAGGAATCAGGGATCGCGAATCCAGGGTGGTTTCTCGTGCCCGAGAGGGCCCCCTCTGGGGCAATTTGGGAGCCCCTTTTCTGCTGCCCTCGAGTTTTTATGTTTATGTCACTATTCGTCCCCCTAGCTAAGGTCCTCGTCCTCCTCATTCAGGCTACCGCTGCCTGTGCTCTTCGTCTCGGCCAGCTCGAGCCTCTGTGGCTCCTGTCGGGGATGAACAGAAGCCCCCTTTCGTACAACGTGGTCCAGTGAAAACGACCTGAGGCCCAAACCTGGCGGGCGCAGGCCTGGAAAAGAACGGCCACGGCGCCCTCTCGAGAACCGAAGACGGACAATTCACCACTCGACGCGTCGCTGTTGGGGGCTCTGTCCACCCCCGAATGCATCGCTCCCCCAAATATTTCCCCATGTATCGCTCCCCCGGGAAAAAACACACGAGTGTGTGTGTGTGTGTGTTTTTGTGTGTATGTGCTTTTGTGTGCGTGTTTGTCTCACACTGTTTGTTTCCCACATGTGTGTTTTTTGTGTGTGTTTTCTCCCAGAGTGTTTTTTGTCCCACTGTGTGTTTTTCCCACAGTGTGTGTGGTTTGTGTGTGTGTTTTCCAACAGACATATTCGCGCCCAGTCGGAGCGGGGAGATCAAAGTCGGGAGCGCGGCTTGCCGGGATGTCCGAGGGCTTGCTGGACCCCTCGTGGTACCTCTGTGGGGCCGGTCTCGGTGCCCTCCTCGGACTGCACCTGTGGGAAAAAACACAATCGGTGGGACACAAACACACACTGTGGAAAAAAAACACACTGTGTGTGTGCGTTTGTTTCCCCACAGTGCGTGTTTTTCCCACAGGCCCTTTGGGCCATCTTGAAGTCATGCATTTTCAGGCTCTCTGGAGCACCCAATAGGCAGAACACGCAGGAGAAGGCCATGTCATTGAGCAACAAGTAGCGCAAGCATGAGCTACGTCGTGTTCTTCGGAAGCGGGGTGAGAAATCCGAAGAACAGACGATCCATCTGGCGTTGTGCAATTGCCAACGCATCTTGGGCCATTGTGTGTTCCTGGGAGCCATCTGGGCGGCATCTCGGGGGGTCCTGAGACGGCCTCGGGTGTTGTCTTAAGGGCGTTTGTTTGCGCCTATGCGTCCTCGGTGGAGTCGTCGCAATTTCTCTACGCATGACACGTGCCAATACGCTATCTTGTCGCATGCCCGACGGACTACAACCTAGAAAGCGTAGGAAGTATACCTGACAATGTGAGCCACATCGGCTCCGTGAAGTTGCACGTGTGATAACCTCGCAAGGGCACTCCATCCTGCACCAGACTGGTTCAAAAAAATTGATCGGCGACACCTGCATGTATAACTACATGCTGCAAACAAGACCAGTACTTAGGGCCTCAGAATACTGAAACAAATACTGCTCAAGATGCAACACAGATTTGAAACAGATATGGATCGATGCCCGATGTAAAATATGTCCACAGGACATGTAAAAAATTATGGATCGATGCCCGACATCAAAAAATTAGAGTCCGATGACCAACAAGCCTCAGAGAAAGAGAGCCTGGTCGACAGGGCGTCGCTCATGTTCACTGCCTCATGCCCCTGAGGAGGACCAGGATGACGCTGGTCCTCCGTAGCGACTTCTGGACAACAGGCTCAGAGATGGCGCTGGCGGAGCCGAATACTGCATACGTGGCGCAATCGCCCCAACTGCCGGCATCGCCGGCCCCTCAAGCACCAGGCCGGGCGGGCCCCAGCCAGCCTCAAACAGGAAGGCCGCCCCTGTGCGCGAGGCGCCCCAGCCGAGGGGCGCGAGGCCGGCGCCGCCGAAGTCGGCGGCCCACGCGTAACCGGCGGGGTGCGCGGGGTTCACAGAACCGTCGTACAACCAAGCCTCTTCGTAACACCTCCCAGGGACATGCCCCTGCAGCTGGTCGAACTTACCTGGACAGGCGGTTGGTTCCAACATGGTCGCACACCCGCTGTCCGCTGTGCCGCGGCCGAGGGTGTCTGCCTCGCCCCCGGAGCGGAAGCACGGCTCGGAGGCCCGACAGCCGGAGTCCCGCGGCAGGGCCTGGGGAGCCCTCGGGGCTGCAGGCTCCGCGCCCTGCGCGTGGTCGGCCCTGGCGGCGTCCTTCGGGTCGGCGGCGCCCTGCATGGGAACTGACGGCGGCCAAGACTTTGAGCGGAACAGCTTGCCCCACGGTTTGCCCTCAAAGTCGTCCTTGCTCAAAGGCTCGTCCTCGTCGATGGTGATGAAGGTGTTCTTGACGCGCATGCCGTACACGCACAGCGCCGCCGGGTCTTCCGTCATCTGGCGCTTGAAGGCGCTGGCCGGCATGGCGATGCTGATAGGGGAACGAAGAATGACATAAACGCAAAACCCCCGGACGTCCGCGTGGATTTCTCGGATCCGCGCTAGACCCCCCTCCATGGCGCGCAGAGCGCGCGGCGACGGAAGCGTCGCCGGGGGGTCCAGCGCGGATCCGAGAAATCTGCGCGGACCTCCGAGTTGTTATGTTTATGTCACTATTCGTCCCCCTAGCTAAGGTCCTCGTCCTCCTCATTCAGGCTACCGCTGCCTGTGCTCTTCGTCTCGGCCAGCTCGAGCCTCTGTGGCTCCTGTCGGGGATGGACAGAAACCCCCTTTCGTACAACGTGATCTAGCGAAAACGACCTGAGGCCCAAACCTGGCGGGCGCAGGCCTGGAAAAGAACGGCCACGGCGCCCTCTCGAGAACCGAAGACGGACAATTCACCACTCGACGCGTCGCTGTAGGGGGCTCTGTCCACCCCCGAATGCATCGCTCCCCCAAATATTCGCGCCCAATCGGAGTGGGGAGATAAAGTCGGAAGCGTGGTTTGACGGAATCTCCGAGGGCTTGCTTGACCCCTTCCTCCTACTCCTCCTCCTCCTCCTCCTCCTCCTCCTCCTCCTCCTCCTCCTCCTCCTCCTCCTCCTCCTCCTCCCCCTCTTCCTCCTCCTCCTCCTCCGTTGGGGGTGCCGTCCACCCCCGATCCTGTTGCGGCTCCAGCGGGCCGCCGCCTTGGCACGCCGCCTCGGGCGTGCGCAGCTCGTGCGGGCTGTGGGCGTACGTGCAGTCCTCCGAGCAAGGGGGCCGACGACAACACTGACTTACCCTGTTGGAGGCCTGGAAATTGACACCAACACCAGCACAGGGGGTTGCCTCCACATGGGAAAAAGGGTCCTAGATTTCGGTGTTGGTGGTAATAGTTCGGTCACCTTGGAAACCAACAGATTACCACCATCACCGAGATCGAGATCGTCTTCCCTCGGTGGAGGCACACCGCCGATCTTGGTGTTGGTGTCAACCTCTAGGCCTGCGACCCTGACATTGATTTTTCCGTCGGATCTGCGACAAATGCGTAGAATGCTTCGTGCATTGGGACCCGACCATAAGAAGCCTTCCACAAGAAACCTCACCCTGAGACCCCAGGACGTCTATTGATTTCTGGTGCGGGAGCGTCACGCTCTCCATCGAAAAAACATCGAGATCCAAGACACCCAGGACACCCTGGAGGCGAGCAGGGTGTTCCTCGGCATGGGCCCCCGCTGTATCCTGAAACTGATGTTCCGTCGGATCTTCCAAAAAAAAACCGCCGACTCTGTCGGCGTGTGGCAGGGGCTGTGTCGTCGCCATCGCCGTCGCTGCCGCCGTCGCGTCGCCGCCGCCATCACGTCCCCTCCTTCCACCGAGCCCGTCGCCGCTCCCCCCCTTTTCCTTGGGCCCTCGTCCTCCAGCACGCCAGCCGAAGCGACATACACCAGCCCATCCACAACGAAATTGAGCAACGTTGTCATTGAGTCGCAGGGAATCCCCTTTGATCCCTTCCGCAGGAAGGGCGGTCCTGGGAGGGTGGTCGGGGGGGGTCACGGGGGGTCGTCCGGGGTCAGAATACCATCCTCCCGGGGCGAGTCGGGAGGGCCGAGGCCTCCAGGGTCGGCGGCACAGGCCGTGAGGCCTTAGCAACACGTAGAATGCTCCGTGGATCTCGGAGCATCCTACGTTCTTCTCGTGGACTCGACGGAAAAGCCCATTTCGGGGTAATCAATTCTGTAGCCGATCCCCTACTCGAGTCCTCCTGGGCGCACTCTCCCCCCGCAACCACGGAGGGGCACATCTTCGTGAAGCGCAGGTCCGGGAGCGGGCGCAGCTCCGCCTCGCTGTGGGCGAACATGCACCTGTGGCGCTTCCTGCAGCGCCCCCGCTTGATGAAGAAGTCGCAATACTTGGTCTTCTGGAACTTGCTTCTCACCCGCGCGGGCAGCTCGTCCAACGCCTCCTCCTGGGCATCGGTGTCGCTGGTAGCCCCGCCGCTTCCGCTCACGGTGTGACCCGTGAGAGAGCCGACGAGCGCGGGTGCTGGCCGGCCATCGGCGTCGCTCATGCCCCCCGCCTCGCGGCAATCGCTCATCGCTCGTGGGCGGGCCGCCCCCGAAACGCAGCTGGAGCCAAAATGGCTACGGAGGGTGTTATATCTTGGGGGCGTCTTGGTGCTGCTCGGGGGCATGTTTGAGGCCATGCGAATGGCCTCTGGGGGCCTTTCAGGAATGTCGGAGCCCTTCCTTTTCCAGAGGACCGTCCTGACGGGGGCCACGTTGTGATAGACATTTGTTCCAGGCCAACGAGGTGGTCTGGCCCGTCTCGCCTGAGACAAGCTCGCAACTCTGGGCTCAGAGAGGCCGCGCACGAGACGGTCCGTCCCGCTGCCGCCTGAGACATCCTCGCGACTCTGAATTCCGGTGAACCACACGCGAGATGGTCTGGTCCGTTTCGCATGGTATAACTGGGCAACGAGATGCCACACGCGAAATGGTCCGTCCCGTTTCGCCTGAAGCATCCTCGCAACTGCGGGTTTCGAGATGCCGCGCGCGAGGTTGTCTGGTCCCTTTCGCGTGAGATATCTTTGCAACTCTGGGTTCCGACATGCCCCACGCGGTGTGGTCTGGCCCGTTCCGCTCGAGACATCCTCTCGATCCTGGTAAACGAGAGGCGCTAACCTGAGGTGGTCTGGCCTGTTTCGCCTGAGAAATCCCCGCAACTATGGCCTCCGATAAGCCGCACGCGAATTGGTCCTGCCCGTTTCGTCAGATCGTCAGAAACACCCTTGCAATTCTGGAGTCGGGGTGGTCTGGCATGCTTCGCCTGAGACATCCTCGCGGCTCTGGACTCCGAGATGGCGCGCGCGAGGTGGTTCTGCCCGTTTCGCCCAAGGCACGCTTGCAACGCAAGTTTTCGAGATGAGTGCACGCGAATTGGTCATGCCCGTTTCCCCTGAAACCTCCAGCCCGATTCGCCCGATGCTACACGATGTGCGGTCTGGCCCGTGTCGCCTGCGGCATCGTCGCAACCCCGGGCTCCGAGATGACGCGCGCACGGTGTTCCAGCACGCGTCGCCAGAGACGTATTCGCAACTCGGTGCTCACAGATGCCGCACGCACGCGAAACGTCCATCCCGATGCTCCTGCAAAGTTCTCGCAACACAAAAAACTCCGAGACGCCGCCCGCGAGGTGGTCTGGCCTGCGTCGCCTGCGATACTTTCGCAACTCTCGGCTCCGATATGACGCGCGCGACGTGGTCCGTCCCGTCTCGCCTGGGACAGGCTCGTCACTCTGGGCTCCCGAATGACCGCGAACGGGGTGGTCTGCCTGCCCTTTCGCCAAAGCTGTCCTCACGACCCAGGCGGGAGACGGACGGACGGACGGACGCCGGAATCGCCCCGAAGCACGGCCCTCTCGGGGCTCGGCGGGGGCGCCGGAACGCCAAGCACTCAGCGCACGTGGAACATGTGATGCCGGGAAACGGTTTCCAGTCGCGTCAGACACCATGAGGAACAAATTTCCCCAGCAACCGCGGGGCAACAATCTGCCACACAGGAGTCAACAAGGCATTGACGAAGCGCTGCTATATTACGGCGCGCTCTCTCGCGAGGCCGACATGTCGCCATCACTGTCGGATTTGGTATCTGTCACGCGGGTTAATCGTGAACCACCTTTGGGTGATTGATCCAGGTGCTGGCTGATAGACATGTGCTTTAAATTACACTTGCTAACCCATCGAGTGAAGCAACGCCCGCTCGCCAACTCAGGAGACTCAATCTGGGCATCGCCATCTTCATCCATGTTGTTCACAACGCCCACACTACGAACGGTGATTTCCACTTGACCGGTCGACCGGTACTTTGTGTCCACCCTGACACTATAGCCTGCGCGCAAGGCGCCGGCTGGTGCCCAGAGAGATCTCTCCACTTCGCCCTCGATTCGCGCTTGCACTACGTACTTACTAAACATATGTTTGACGTCCGCATTGCCCGCTTGGTGATGTACTTGGAGAAGGCGGCGACGAATGAAAGATGGAACTTGGGGAGGCTGTGGAGGGGGGGGGAAGGGAGGGGGGGGGACATCGTGGAAACCTTCCGTAACGCAGCGCGCGGGGATACACAACAGGAAGGAGGAGGGTGAGGCATCGACCGCCCGAGCGGCTGGCTAACGTTAGGTCGGGGATACCCCCCTACAAGCGGATTTTGGCTGACAAATAAAACATAATCAAAATATAAGCGAAACAGCCGGATCGAACGTCGCAACCATGCATGTTTGACTATTTGTGAATATTCCCACTCAAAAAGGGCGTGCCCGATTGAAGGCTGACGTCTGGGCTGTGACCGCCGCTGCCTCGCGTTTCACCCCTGCCGCGACGCCCGTATGGGGTGGCCCTGCGTTGCTGGGGATATTGCCCTGCGCGGCGCGGGCCGAGTTTGCGCGATCCTTCTTAGAAGAGGTTGGAACATCCAGTGGAAAACTGGCGCCCGTCAGAAGAAGCCGCGCGCCCGCGCCTGCGGCAACCGCGCATGATGAACCTGTCCAAAAAGCCGAGGCGATGGGATCCACGCGGCGAACCTCCGCGGGCCCAGGGATCGAACAGATCGCGTCTCCACGCCACTCCTGGGCCGCGTCGGACACGCCATCCACCGCGCATAGCTGTAGGAGTTTGCCCCGGGCCGAAGGATGCCGCGCACCTGGATAACCGATGGCGCTTGCCGCGCGTAGGCGCGCAGCGTCCGCCAGCGCGAGCAGCCTTGCCCCTCTCGGTTCACAAGCGGGCTCTCTTCTGGGCCTCCACGGAACGTAGGCCTTGGTGGGGCATGCTGCCGCTGCGTCGGGGAGGGCCCTCCGCGCGCGCCCCCCGGCCAACGCCGCGGCGGCGCCCCACTGGTCCGCGGCGGGCGACCCATTGCTCTCAGCAGCCTCGCGAGCTGAAGCAGCAGCGGCCGCGTCGCCAGCGGCCAGCGCGGAGAGACTGGGTTCGCCAGGATCAATGCGGGAGGGGGCCCACCCAGCAGCGACTTCGCCCCCCCCCCCTACGGTTCCCAGGAACGCCCCGAATGCGGAGCCACAAATCCCCTTCCCGCCCGTTGGAAGCCCCAAACAGGCTTCGAGGCACGAGCGAGATCTTGCCTGCACATGGAACGGCTTGGATACGCGGGTCTCGGACGACAGGCGCACCCGAATTGACGCGGGTGAACGGGGGCGGGCCGCGGGTCGGACGAGCGCTTCGCCTGGGTCGCCTGCGCGCTGGAGTCGACGATCGCCCTCTCCTGCCGCGAGAAGCGCTGCCAATCTTCCGTCGGTGTCGCGCCGCTGTTTCTGGGTGCCCCGTGCAGGCGCCCCCCCCCTGCAGGGCGCTCGCCCACGCCCGCGATGTTCTTCCGCTGCGCGTCGGCATCCCGCGCCCCCGCGGCCGCCGCCACATGAACTCCGGAGCGTTGGCGTCGAAGGCAGCCCTATTGAACGCGCGCGCACGCACACACACACACAGAGAGAGAGAGAAAGAGAGAGAGAGAGAGAGAGAGAGAGAGAGAGAGAAAGAGAGAGAGAGAGAGAGAGAAGAGAGAGAGAGAGAGAGAGAGAGAGAGAGAGAGAGAGAGAGAGAGAGAGAGAGAGAGAGAGAGAGAGAGAGAGAGAGAGAGAGAGAGAGAGAGAGAGAGAGAGAGAGAGAGAGAGACACACACACACACACACACACACACACACACACACACGCACGACAAACACGCACACACAACACACAAACGCTGGTGCCACAAGGTTTTGGAACACACATCCGAAGGAACAGCGCAAACAAAACAGCTACACGCAACCTCCACCAGAACGCGGAGAAGGACGAAGAGAGGCATGTTCCCCGCTGCGGGGCGGAACTCGCCGGGGTGGCTGAATGTTGCTATTCGCGGCCGTCCTGCGGCGTTGGGTCCTCGATCCGATGAGACAGCGCCCCGCGCTGCCCCCCCCCCCCCCCTCTCTCAACGTCGCCGTCGTTGCCGACGCCGTCGCCATCGCCAACGGCCCTTCGTCCTCCCCCTCCGCGCCCTCCTCGACCTCCTCTGGCAATGCGCGCAAGCAGACCAACCACGTGTTGATGTGCTCGTCTGGTCGGAGCTGCCTGTCCTTCTTGCTTCCTTGCGGCGATTGCACCTTCGCGAAGCCGCCCGCTTCCGCGGGGCGCCCCGTCGCGGCCCCCCTCGCGGGCGCGGCGTCGAGGCCCCCATTCCCCCCCGCCCGCGCGGGAGTAATCCGCTGACCGACGGCCTGCGCGAAGAGGCGGGCACTGCGCAGAAATTGTTAGTTGCGACGCAGCTGTTTAGGGCGCCCGCTCACCGCGCTGTCGAACGCGCTGGAGACGCCAGCGTTGATCTGCGAGTGACTGACCTTTCAATCTCCGCAGCGCCGCGTAGCCGCGCAAAATGCAAGCGGGCCCCCCCGGCGGCGTCGAGCAGGAAGGCGCCCGTGAATTGAAATGCCAGACGAGGCTGCGGATCGATCACGCCCGCCCGCTGCCCGAACCAACCCGTGTCGAGCGAATCAAAACAGCGGGGCGAACGCGCCCCTTTGTCGCCCCATCTCGCCGCTGGCCTCTGGGCGCGGAAATGCACGCGATCACGAAGGCTCGGCGGCGCCGCGCCTGCGCGCCTGATCGCGGCAATGAACGCCTGGTATTTGCGGAGAGCTGAGCGGAGCGACATCTCGTTCCCCGCCATCTCCTGCATGGCCCCCGAAAGCCTGGGGACTGCGATTCAGCATGTGCCCCGCAGCGTTGCGCGGCCCATCTATTCGGCGCTATCTACAGGTACCTGGCCTGTCCATCCACGTCAGCCCGCGCCCGTTCCATGGCCCGGGCTCGCTCTATAACTTGCGGCAGCAACTCGATATCCCCTAGAAGCTCGGCCGCTGAATATCATCTGCGCTCGCGCCGCCACTCTGCTGGTCTGTCCTCAATCCGCCCCTCCATTCCTCCGCGCCCATCGCTCGACGCGCTGCGAATATGCGTCGTTTTGTTCAGCCCTCGCCCTGCTGATGTGAAACTACTTTGTGCCGGGCTATGCCCTGCAACTTTGCTGTTCTTCCAAGCTCCAACCAGCTCCGGAAGTCGTCGATTGCGACGTTCAGCCATAGGTTTTCTCCTCGACTGTTGCAGCTGTCGCGTGGTGTTGGAAAGATCCTCGTTTGTCTGTGCGCGCTCGGCGGCGTTGAGTTCGGCGCCAGATCCCACCGTGCGTCCCAGCCATCAAAGTACTGCCATGCATTGCTGCCGTCGGTGTTAATCAAATGGTGGCCTCCGCGGCTGGGCTAGCGGCTAGGACCGCCTCTTGGCAGCCATCGAACAATCCTATACGTAGCCATTTCCCCAATCGCAGATGCGCGCTCACCTTTTCGGCACTCGCCGGGGCCCTGCCCGGCACCGTGCCGCGATCTACGTTGGAGCCAGCCCCGCGCTGAACATGCGCGAGCCCGATCTTCCAAAATGTCGACGCGATGCTCACGCGCAGCCCCACGGCAGACGCGCGAATTTGTGGGACACATTCGTCTCGTGCACAGGCTCCGCTACATCGATGTGCTCGTCCCCTCGCATATGAGATAAGCTCATGTAATAAATCGTTTCCTTCCAAACCCACAATGTAGATCTCAGCTACATTCGGTAGCGTTGCGTGTCCTTGTTTCTCGATGTGATCGCTGAGCCACCGGAAAATGCGACGGCTGGTCTCGTTCAGGTTGGGGGCACTTGTGCCGTTCGGTGGGAAGTACACAAGAAAGACGCGAAATGCCTGTCCATGCACAAACGTTTTGATATGTGCCAATCGCTCTTTGATGCCTTGTGACCGCGGGCAAGCTAACGCTTGCTGCGCTCCGTGAACATACTGAACAAAAAGAAATGCGAAACCACATGTTCTGTTGACGTGCGGTGACAATTTCCACCGAAACTGGGAGAACTCTATGGTGCGGCAGCGTGGCCCGCTGAGAGTCGTAGTCAACTTCGGTGTGCTTAGCTGTGCTGGTGGCGACCACCTGTGCTTGCTGATCTCTTCTAACCTCATAAAGTCGGCGCTCTGCGCGTTGAAGTCAACGAATTCCAGCACCGTTCTGTGCGTCGCCTCCGTGTGCTCTTCTCCCTTGTCGTGTGCGCCTCATTGCCCCAAGCCCGTCTTCGGCCTGACGGGTGCCATGTCCTTCTGGTGTCAAGACCTGTGGGCAGTGGGTGTGCTGACGCTGCCTGGCACCCCACCGGGCCAAACAACGCGCCATGAAATCCGGGGAAATTCCATGGCCCCAGCTATGATATCTTCCCCCCAATCTTCGCCCGCCTTTTGGCCGCCCCCGACCTTTCCCGATGAGAGGAGCACTGGCGCACTCCCGGAGACGGGCGCGGTAAGGCCCCTCGGCCCCAGACACGGCCACCTCTGCCGCCACACCCGCACCAGGTTCCTCCCGTGGTGCGGGGAGGCCGCAAAGGATGCGCACAAGAGGCGCAGATCCTTCCAACACCAAAACCAACCTGCGCTCGGACGCCCAATTCCTTGGTTTCGTGCGCGATGCTCCACTAAAGTGCAGACTTTCTGGCGCGAGAAACATGCACACGTCCGAACGATGCCAGATCAAAAAGCCGTTCGAGGCCTCAAGATGGCCTCGAAGGGCCCTCCGAGGCCCGCCGCACGCGCGCCGAGCCTGCAGTCAGGTCGGGCATGTCCTCCTGCAGCCGGAATTTGGGACGATATGAACCAACAGATGCGCAAACATGATCAGACAGAATTCAAAAGTCGTCCCTGGATTTTCGTATTTGACTAGTTTTGACGATCCCTCCTTGCAGAGGGACAGGTCCGACTTCAGCCCACGGCCGTCGTGCGATCGCGAGGAACGCCCAGGAGGAACGACGGGGCCCTCCTGGCCGCGGCGAGCGCCGGCCGCGGAAACGGGCTCCCCGGCCCCGGACCTGAAGAACGGCCCGAAGACCAGAATCCGCTCCTGAGCCCCACGCGGCCCTCACCAGAAGAAGAGCAAACGCCATACAGCTGAGGCCTGACCACAAGAAACCTCCCACAAGAACCCCCCCCCCTGAGATCCCAGGGCGTCATTTGATTTTTGTTGACGAGAGCGTCACGCTTTCCCTGGCAAAACCATCGAAACCCAAGAAACCCAGGGCACCCTGGAGGCAAGCAGCGTGTTTCTTGGCGCGGGTCTCCACTGCACTAGAAGAAAATCCATCGCCATATACATAAACTGCTGGCGCTACGCACGGGTTTCTCGGATCTGCGCTGGACCCCCCTGCCTGGCGCGCGGAGCGCGCCAGGGGCGGCGCCAGAGGCGCCGCCAAGGGGCCCAGCACCGATCCGAGAAAGCCGCGCAGAACTGAGAGATGTTATGCTTTTGTCGTTATGTTGTTCGTTCTCCTATCCCCGACCCCGGACCTGAGGAACGGCCCGAAGACCAGTATCCTCTCCTGAGCCCCACGCGGCCCTCACGTCAGCGCCTGGACCCGTGGGCTCTGGCGGCCCGGCCGGACCTGCTCGAGGCGAAGGTTTAGGTCGGGCACGTCCCCCTACAGGCGGCTTTTGGAGAAAAAACGGCGCATAATCAGAACGCATTCAGAAATGATCAAACATAGCGTACGTAAACATACTCTCTGCGAGGTTCTCGCGAATTTCTCGGGTAGGCGCTGGGCCCCCCCTCGCCGCGCCTCCGGCGCCGCCATCTTCCCCACCGCCCCCTCATGCTCGTTTTAGTTCTTCTCATCGTTCTCGCCGTTGCCCTCGTCCCTTGCCGCGCTTGCCCAAATGGCTCGACTACTTCTGAACATCCCCCCTGTAGAGGGGCACGCCCGCCTCAAAGCGAGGTCGAGCCCCCCCCCCCCCGTGAGGGGCCGCGTCTGCGCGGGGGTGGGGCACGCGCCGCCTCCGCCCCGCGCAGGCCCGCCGTCCACGAGTCCCCGGGGCGCGCAGGAGCTCCGCCGGACGAGTGCCACGCGGGCGCGTTGCGCCGAGGCCTTGGGCTGTCCTCCTCTGGGCACGCCGAGGACAGGTGGCGGCGCGCAGAGGGGGGTAGGGGGAGGGGGGAAGGCTTCTTAGAAGGAGGCTGCTTCTTAGAAGGCGCCGGCCTTACAAGTACAGAGAAGGCCCGCACCTTCTAAGAAGCAGGGGTGCTTCTAAGAAGCCTTCCCCCCGCCCCCGACCCCCCGCTGCGCGCCGCCAAGACAGGTGACGCAATGTGAGAAGAGGAGGGGGCCATGCAGCCGGGGAGGTCTCAGGCTCTCGAGCGATAAGATTCCTCCTCCCAGCTTGTCCACAAGCCCCCTCTTTGACGCCCCCGGCTTTTCCAGCCCGGCTCTCACGCCTCGCCGCGATGTCGGGAAGGAACGCCCAGCGAATGAGCCCAGACCCCGGCGAGGCACTGACAGTTTGGGCCAGGCCATGAAAACTCTAAAAACTTATAAGACGGCTCATCTTGCTTGGAATCTCTTCACGGCTTCCACCATACAGCCAAAACGTGTATCAAGGACGGGTGGCAAGGACGCAAGATCCTTGGAGGCCGAAGCTGGGATTCTTTCGGGCGGCGGGCAACCAGTGAAAACGGCAAAGGACGGGCCGCGGAGGTACCCTAGATCAAGGCGCGCGTCCTTACCAGGCGCGTTGACCGTATTCGCCTCCGTGCTAACGTCCCCGCCGCCTCTCGTCGACAACCACCTCCGCCGCCCCCCCAGGGCCAGATCATTCTCGAGCTCGGCCACGTCCAGCTCTGGTGCCCATGTCTTCCAAAACGCCGATGTACCCGTCCTGTGAGGGCCCGTGGGCACGATGCTGGATGAGAACGTCCAGAGCGAAAAGCATGCAACGCTCGGGACGATCAAGCACGGGCGGCCGCTAAACGGCAGGAAAGCGCCGAGGGCCATCGACAACGTGTTGGACAATCTCAACCTTCCAAAACTTCGAAACTGCGAGGTTCGAGACTCGAACCGGCTCGCCCCCGAGTTCTACCGTCCGTTCGCCTTCTCTTCCTGATCTCAAGTGAGCTTCCTCCCCTCCTCACACCTTCGCTGGTCGGCGGGAAGAAGTCCGAAGCTATCGCCCACCAACACTTGCTGCTGATCCCCACGACACCACTGTTGGAGGCACGGGGGATCGAGCAGCAGATCCCCAAGCCCGCGCACTCAACCAACACCTTCTGAGCTCTGGCGTGCGTGAAAAGCCTGGTCGCCATGATGCTAGAAGCAACGATGGTAAGCGAGTGTGATTAACCAATCATGCCAACAATGAAGAAATTATATATGCCAAGTAGACAGCCCCAAAACGCCTGGGTCAAACGAAACGATGCAGTTACCGCGAAAGCGCGACGAGGAGAGTTCTGCCTGCTCGCCACTATAAGCGCATGATGAAATGATGCCCATCGGAAGCACGTACCCCTTCTTCTCTCGAGGCAGTAAAGCGGTGGGCTTGGGGAGCGGGACCGTTCTTGAAACCATACGGTTTGCTGTGAAGAGGAACAACAACATGCATATTTATATAAGAGTGGGAGAGAGAGAAAACACAATAAAACTACACACAAGCATAAACACATACAAATATACCACACACACACACGCACACGCGCCCGCGCACGCACGCACGCACGCACGCACGCGCACACGCACACGCACACGCACACGCACACACACAACGACAAAGACAAAGGCAAACACAAACACAGACACACAAACACAAACACAACCACAACCACAACCACAAGCACACAGACAGACAGACAGACAGACAGACAGACAGACAGACAGACAGACAGACAGACAGAAAGACAGACACACACGCACACGCATACGCATACACATGAACACATACGATGGCCATGGAAACGCAGCATGAAAGGGGGGGCGAGAGAAAGAGAGAGAGAGAGAGAAAACAGACAAACAGACGAAGAGAGAGACAGAGAGAAACAAAAAAAGAGAACGAATCACAACCGAACACCATATATGCGCAGACGTACGTTTCTAAATGTGCACGCATGCGCTCATGTGCACAAATCCATGGCCCATGCAACGTGCATTCATGCAACGTGCGCACGGGTGCTGCCGATCGGCCGCTGGATCGAACATCAAGGCCGTCGCCCAGCCCGTCGCATGGACTGCGGCGATGCGTGGCGTGGCCCAGCGTGATGTTTTTGTTGCGCGCGCGTGCGTGGGTGTGCGTTGGTGGGTGTGCGTTGGTGTGTGTGTGTGTGAGTGTGCGTTGGTGTGTGTGTGTGTGTGCGTGTGTGCGTGTGTGTGTGTGTGTGTGCGTGCGTGCGTGCGTGCGTGCGTGCGTGCGTGCGTGTGTGTGTGTGTGTGTGTGTGTGTGGTGGCTTCGGCGAGCATCGCCTCGGGCGGCCGGAGTGCCCCCCGCCTGCAAGGGCTGGCGGGAACCAAGCCCCGCGGGAAAACTGTGACATCAGCGATCGGACCGCACGTGGGAGTCACGCTCTTCCAGCGAAGCGCTCCTCCTCCTGGTCGTCTTCCTCCTCCTCCTCCTCCTCATCCGCCTCCTCGTTCAACCTCCCTCCTCGTCCAAACAGCTCGCCCACGCACCGTTGCTGGATTGGCAGGTGGGGATACGCGAAGCGTTAGTACGTGGGAACCACGCTCCTTCGGTAAAGTGGTAGGGACAGTCACGCGGTCTTCATGTCCGCCAGCCCCTAATGCCACCTGGGAATATCAAATTTCTGATGGCCCGGTATGTCCGCCACGCTGCCTCAGGAAATTGATGTTAGGTCGGGCATGTCCTCCTACAGGCGGATTTGGACGAAACATTAAAAATAGTACAAAAAATGCCCCGAAGTAGTCCCCAGACTGTTGATTGATTATCTTGTAATACTCCTCCTGTAGGCGGACGTGCCCGACCAACAATGAACGGAATGTCTTCACCATAGAACGGCGCTTTCGAGCGCTTCTGGGTTGTGCCCCGCGGTTCTTCCCGAGTCCAGGGGAGGACCCTTGGGAATCCAAGCTTCCGCCATGACTTAAAACGGTCCTGATGGGCACTATCCTCTGGCCATATACAGTGGGGGCGCGACCACAAGAAACCCAACCCTGAGACCCCAGGACGTCCATTGATTTGTGGTGTGGGGGCGTCACGCTTCCCATAGCAAAACCATCGAAGCCCAAGAAACCCAGGGCACTCCAGAGGCAAGCAGGGCGTTGTTGGCATGAACCTCCACTGTAGGCAGTCTCTTGGGCCGTCTTGGAGACCTTCGGGGGGTGGCCCAAGATGCCCGAATCGTCAACGAGACCACAAAGATCGCTCTGACTGTCGCGCGGGGCTTAGATGGGAGGACGACGAGGACAACGAGGGGGGGAGGGCAATCAAGCTTCTGGGTGCGCAATTGAACGGGGCGGCCCAAAACCCCGCACACCGACCGTGGACGGGGCAACCCTCTCTGGCATTGTGTTATCCTTTCTGGTACCGGTCGTTTTTACCCGGGGGGGGGGGCGCCTGGATCACGGCAGCGCTTGGGCGGGGTGGGGCACGTCGGGGCAGGGGAGCGCTGCGATCGCCATCGAATGCGCGCGAGTACCAGCATGTGTGTGTGCGTGTGTGCGTGTGTGTGTGCGTGTGTGCGTGTGTGTGTGTGTGTGTGTGTTTGTGTGTGTGTGTTTGTGTGTTTGTGTGTTCGTGTGTTCGTGTGTTTGTGCGTTTGTGCGTTTGTGCGTTTGTGTGTTTGTGTGTTTGTGTGAGCTTGTGTGTGCTTGTGTGTGTTTGTCTGTGTTTGTGTGTGTGTGTTTGTGTGTGCTTGTGTGTGCTTGTGTGTGTTTGTGTGTGTTTGTGTGTGTTTGTGTGTTTGTGTGTGTGCTTGTGTGTGTGTGTTTGTGTGTGTTTGTGTGTGAGTTTGTGCGTGTGTGTGTTTTGTTTGTGTGCTTTTGTGTGTTTGTGTGTTGTGCGTGTGTTTGCGTGTTTGGCGTGTTTTCTGTGTGCGTGTGTGCGTGTGTTTTGCGTCTTGTGTGTGTGTTTGTGTGCGTGTGTGCGTGTGTGCGTGTGTGCGCAACGGCTGCCTGTCGGCTGCTCTGCTCTCACGCGAGCCTGGGCGAAGAACGATACGCGCGCCAAACCCTGGCGGACCCAAGCTGCAAACATACATACCGGCCGTGTGTGGGCATTGGCGGGAGGTGTCGTGGACAGGAGAGCCCAGGATCGAATCGATAAGTCGGATCGGTGATCGACATGGATCGGATCGGCGAAAGTCCGCAGCCGCGTCGGGAAAAGACGGATCGGCGAACATCGGGAGGCCAACATGCCTCCAATGGAACATCGGAGCCAACATCGGAGACCCAAATCGAAACGAATCGGAATCGGAAGCCATCGAAGTCGAACCGAATCGAATCGGAGGAATCGAAACGAGCCCTGCGTCGAGGCTGGCATGAAGTCGGGCCTGTCCCCCTACAGGGGGATTTCCGGCGAAAACTTACAAATACCCCCAAAATAGCCAAAAAATAATAAAAAATAGCCTGGGGACTATGTTGGAATCATTTTTTAAGCATTTTTGGTGAATTGTTGGGGTATTTCTTATTTGTCGTCGAAAATCCCCCTGTCGGGGGACAGGCCCGACTTAAGGCTGGCACTCGCCATCGCTCGGACGTCCATTCCCTGTGTGTTTTTTTGATTACGTGCGTAGCTTTTTCGCCAAATGATCAAGGATGCTCCTCGATGGCCCTCGCCGAAGGAAAAATGCACACGTCCGAGCGATGCCAAGGGCAGCATCTCATACAAGTGCCCCTGGCGGGGAGGGGAGCGCGCAGCGCCGACCTCACCAGCCGCCCCCCCCCCCTCCTGTTGCTGTCTTGCTTGGCCCCCAGGGGCAGCGGCGCCGAGACATTGCCGTGCGCCGCGGTGCGAGCCCGCGTCAGGTTGGTGCGCGCGTCCACCGCCAAACTACCTGAGTGCAGTTCGGCTACGCACAAGAGTGACCCTGGGTAAGAGTGACCTTTGGTGCGCGGCTTTTGGGGGGCGCGAAGGGGCCCAACCCAAGGGCGCAGGCCGCTGCTATCGCATCGAGCTCAGCGATCGGGGGGGCCCCGATGACTCCGCACCGGCAAAGGGTCACTCTTACGTGTAGCCGAACAGTGGGGGCCCCACCACAGGCAAGAAGCTCAATCCTGAGACCCCAGAACGTCCATAGATTTTTGGTGTGGGAACGTCGCGCTGTCCACAGCCGAACCATCGAAACTCACGAAGCCCAAGGCACCCTGGAGGCAAGCAGGGTGTTTCTTGGCATGGGCCTTCACTGTACGACGGGGGTAAATCCTTTCAAAAACGTTCCAGAACGCTCTGGGACGCTCTGAGAAGGCCGCGGCGCCCGAGGCATCCTCCAGACCCGCGGGGTCTCCAGGAGCGTCGACTTATCCTGACCCGATTGCAGATGAACCGGGAGGTACCGATACCGCTACTCTCCGGACCTTCCCCGGGTGCGTCCAACCAGGATTCCGAAGCGAATCCAGCGGTGGCGACAAGGGCCTCCCGAGAGACCCCCAAAAAGGGAAAACGGGCGGAAGGTAGCGGTATGGGTACCTTTTCCTCTTCGGAGATTTGTCCTCACGCGATTTTATCCTTGTCCAGGCGTCGTCTGACTGAGACGACGGCCAGAAGAACAGACACTTGGCGGCGAACGAGGGGGGGATGCGACAAGGAAAAAACCTTTTTTCAGAAGGTTCGGGAATCTCCTGGCCTACCTCCCAGAAGGCGCGAGGGCTTCTGAGAAGTCCCGCCGCCTTTCTGAGAAAATCTTCCCCTTCTTCCTTTACCCCCCTCGATCGCCGCCGAGGCACATCAGAGCCGGGATCTCAGCAGAGCCCGTGGGCCTGGAGGACTCGCATCGTCGGGCGCCGCGGGGTTGTTTAGTAAACGCCCAGGGCCGTTTAGTAAACGCCAATTATCGGGTCTGGGTGGTTTTCCCCCCTTTGATCGATCGGGGGGACTCGCGTAAGAGGGGAAAACGTCGACCTGGCCGACGATCGAAAACGGGTCAAATGCGCGATTACGTAGCGACCTTACGCGGCGGCTTACGCGGGCTGCCAGCGAGGCGCGCCAGCGTGGAGAAGTCGGCGCCCACGCAGGACCTCGCGCGGGCAACTTACGCGCGAATGTCGGCGCAGACGGCCCCGTTTTTCTTGCGTCGCTCACCTGGGGTCGGCGACGCATCGCTGATAGATTGGCGATGGGCCCCGATAGTGTTGCGAGGCAGCTACTCATGGACAGCCGGGGGATCCATTGAAACATTAAATTGCGCGAAGCATGAAACAAAAACATCATGTGCTGCGAAATGAGTCAAAATATGTCTCCGCTGCACAATTGCGCAGAAACCGCTCGCTAGGTTAGCGCAGTGGCGCGCGGCGCGCGCGCGAAACGCGACTGCGCGCGCTCGCCCAGGGGCGGCCCGCCCCGCACAACACGAACGCCTCGCTTGCGAGTCGACGACGCAACCCCGCCAAATCCGCACGTCTCCGACGCCGCGCCTGCGACGGCAGAGGCGACGGCGATACGGCGGAAAGCAGACAAGGGGTCAGAAGCAGCAGCGCAGCCACTGACAGGAACGACAGCGCCAGGAAAGCGACGACGGGGCCGATGAAACCCGCGCGCGAGGAGAAGGAGAGGGGGCAGGCGCGCGACATCGCCCGTAGAATAGCACTGGACAGCGCGGGGGCGCAGAGGACGGAAAGGGGGGCGACTGGAACTTGAACGGGGGCGGCGGCTAGAACAGCCTCGACGGGGCCGCTGAGAACGGGCCCTTGGGGCGAGGGGGGCAGGGCGATGAGGCGGGGGAAAGTCGGTGGAGGCAGGCCCGGTACCATCATCGCGCGAATGCCGACGGCAAAACGTCCTGCGCGCCCCCGCGCGCCGATGACGTCAAGAGCACACCGCCGTGGCCCGCGCGGCTGCCGCCGCTGCGACTTGCGAGTGCGCCAGCAAGAACGCCCCCCAGACTGCCGCCGACGACGTGGACCTCCCTGTTCCTCGCCCCTTCTCCCCCGCCCCTCCCTTCCCCCCCCCCCCGGTCGCGCCCCCCCCGTTCCCGCTCGCGCGCTCTTCATCCTGCCCACCTTGTCCCCCCTGGCCGTCTGCGCCGCGACCCCCCGCGGCGACCCTAATCCACGGCGCCTCTCGCGCCCGGCCCAGCCCGCGCCGATTGCGCCAGCGTCTCGGGCTGCAATGTCGAGGGCCCCAAAAATTGTTGCTAGATGGCCGCCGCGACCCAGGGCGGCGAAAGATGCCCCCAAGCTCCGCGCCAGACGCCGGCACAATCGCCGCGGGGCCTCGATCGGCGCGGCCCCCGGGCGGCCGCGATTTGTTCAGGTGTGTTCGAGGCGCCCCAATCGAAATGCACAAAGAATGCGCAAACAAAATATGCCCCGCACTCGCAATCCCCGGGGGAATTCGGCGCGCCTGCTTGATACAAGTAAAAATGCGTGGCCGAAGTAGGCGAGGCGCCCACCGACTCCGCGCGCATGTTTCGCCTACTGCATGCATATTTGTCGCACGAGAAATATGCAACAAATGCGATGGAAATGGGCGGCTGGAGAGGCGCCAATTTTTTCCCCAAACAAATCCATAATAGATGCGCGAAAAATGGGCCCGCCCCGATCGGTGAAAATGCAAGGACAATGAATGCGAAATGACATGTTCCCCGAGGCAGCCGGCGGGGGCGAGGTGGAACGGCGCGACGCCCCCGGGAGGCCCGCGACGGGATGCAGCTGCCTCATGGGGCCTTGTCCCCCCCCTGCCACATGCACCCTTGGGATGCGAGCCCGGCCGCCTCCCGGCGCCGGGCGGGCGGGGGGGCGGGCGGGGGCGCGACGCCAGGTGAGGGGCGCAGCCGCGCGGCTCAGCAGACGTCTGCGCCGCGCCACCCCCCGCGGCAATGCGCCCAAGGAAATTTCGCCGACATGGGGCGGTGCCTCAAAGGCAATGACCCTACGAAGAAATGCAGTGGCCCCGAAGGGGGCTCCAGCCGTCGCCCCTGGCGGGGGGCCCACGGAGGCCCCCAACGGCGGCGGCCACGCGCGGTGCTCGCAGGCCCCTCGAGCACGTGCCCAACCGAAAGCCGCAGTGGCAGAGGCTGCGCGCCATACTTGCACACCCCTCGCGCGCTTCGTGGCCCCACAGGCGACTCCGTCGAAGCCGCGGCAGCATTGGCCGCGCGCGGCACTTACGCCCCCCAGGCTCCATCAAAGGCCCCTGCGGCATCAGCCACGCGCGGCACTTGCGCGCCCCTCGCGCGTTCGATGGTCCGAATAAGGAAACCCGCCAAAGGTCCCAGCGTCAGCGGCAACGCGCGAACTTGGCCACCGCTCGCGCGCGTCGTGGCCCCAGGGGACCCTCCGCCGATGGCCCTAAGGGCGGCGGCCGCACGCGGCGCCTGCACAACCCTCACGCAGTTCGCGGCTCGACGGGGGGCCCCGCCGAAGGGCTTAGCGGCAGCGGCTGGGCGCGGCATATTTGCGCAATTGTCTCGCGTGTCGTGGCCCCGCACGAAGCTCCACTGAAAGCCCCGACCCCGCCAGCACCGCTCGCGCGGCGGCCCTGGTTCATGTCGGCACGCCCCTGTCGCGCGCTCCTTGGCCCCCAAAGAAATTCAACCAGAAACTGCGAACAAAACTGCAGATGGGCGTGCACTTCGTCAATAATTTGTTGGACGCGCACGGGCGACGCCAGGCCCCGCGCCGCGCCACTTCATGGCGCGCCCCCGCGGCGAGAGACCCCAAAACCGAACCATGGAAGCCGATCCTGCGCGCCGCTGCAGGACGCACGATCGCCATAGGCTGCCATGACAAGCGGCGTTCCCAGCAGGGCACTCGCTGCACGCCGCAAGCACCGCTTGCGCTTGAGCGCTCATACCTTATAGCATACAATTTAACCTACGTGTCGAATAGATGTTGTTGTTCAGCTATTCCCCTAAGTTCTGTTACGGCTACTTTGAAACTGCTTAACATACAATCGGGGCGTTGACTTAAGGAACCCTAAATAAGGAACGAGGCCCCTGTTTTCCACAAGTTAAACTTCGATTTCCGATCGGAAACATAAGGAACACCTGAGGCAAGCTGTGAAACACTTGAGGAACAGGGAGCCTCTCCCCAACGAAAAGGGTTCCTTCTTCAGCGCCCCGACTGTACCAGCACCTCTCCATATTACCTTCTTGTTAACGATGATGAAGCCGCAACATCCTGGGCGCGCTGGGGCCAGGCTGTCGGGCCCCCAGCGGCGATCCATGGGCGATGGGGGGCCGCTGCGCCCCTCCTGTGCCTATCCCCCTCTGCTGCTGCCCCTGCAACAAAGGGACACGCCAGAGTTCGCAGAGTCGATTGAGAGCACTACAGAGCTCGTGATTGCAACTGGTACCTCTTGCTCTCCGTCGCCGCTGACTGACTGGCTGTCCCTGACTTGGCCCCAAGGCCCCCCCGGAACTGCAGCGGAAGCCTGGCCACAGAAACGCGGGCCCAGAGCATGAGCGCCCTCGCCGATGGTCCGTGGCCCCACGGAACAAGGGCGCCAAACTCCTAACTTCTCGCTTCGCGCTGCGCGAAGCGCTAATCTTATGTCGGGCGTGTCGCCCTACAGGGGGATTTTCGACGATTTTTTTGTTTTTTTAACCCAAAAAGCCACAAGAAGGTCAAACATATTCAAGGAATAGGCACCAGACTATTTTTGCAGTATTTGTTGCTTGTTGCTGTGGTTTTTTTTTTCGAGCGAAAGTCCTCCTGTGGGGGGACAGGCCCGACGTAACGCTAATCGCTTCGCGCTCTCGCGCCGCCCCGAAGGGGAAGCGAAGAGGGCGAGGAGGAGCCGGGGCCGAGCCTCGCAGCGCGACGCGAGGCGCGAAAACCTCCGTGCCCTCGGAGGGCGGGGCGCCCCTGCGGGAAGAGCCGGAACGAAGAGCACTCCAAGGGAGAGAGCCCCAACAATCCAGGGGCCCAGGGACACACCAATAGATGCACACAAAGAAGCTGATTCCCCACAGTTTCCCATGTGTTCAGGGTTTTTGTCTTCCCCCCCACTCCCCATCTTTTCCCAGATGTTCTGGGGAATGGAGGATGAATTGTGTCTGTGTGTTTCTTTCCCTCCTGAAACAAGCACGCAGAACATGCGGATGCTGCGGCCGTTCTTGCGAAGACGAGGCCGCGGCGGTGGGCGACCGGGTTCGGGGAAACGTTCGATGATACTCAGGACGTGTGTCAGCGCCAACGTGCGTATGTCCATCGAAGCCCTTCGATACGACGCAAGCGATGCAATGCTCTGCCGGCTGGGCTAAACGGGATGAACACACATTGGGCTAACATACGTCCTGAGGATCATCGAGTACGACTCGGGTACGGGGGACTCGGGTTGGCCTAACGGGGCAATCACAAAAACGACAAGACCACATATGAAATTTGACGCGAACTCCCGCTGCAAACATCGCACGTACACTGGACCGTCAAGATCCAGGACGCGCTCGTCAAAAAACATCGGCATACCCGAGTTCCTGCTTACTCGAGTCTTACGTTTCCTCGATGGGTGGTCGCCGGAGGTGGGCGGCAGAGGGCGTGCGTTAGGCGGGCATGTCCCCCTACAGGCGGATTCTGAACGAAGAAGAAAACATATTTAAAAAAAGGATCAAACATAGTCAAACATAGTCGAACAATTGTCGCCACCCTATTTTTCGAACCATCCTGTGGTGTTGGGTCCTTGCTTTGAAGACACAGCGCCCTGCCTTCCTCCTTCCTTCTTCCCTCCTCCCCCTCCTCCGTCCTCCCATCATCATCATCATCATCATCATCATCATCATCATCATCATCATCATCATCATCATCATCACCATCACCACCATCACCATCACCATCATCATCATCATCGTCATCATCATCATAATCATCATCAGCATCGTCATCATAATAATCAGCATCAGCATCAGCATCACCATCATCACCATCACCATCATTATCATCATCATCAGCATCATCATCACCATCACCATCATCATTATCATCATCATCACCATCACCATCACCATCATCATTATCATCATCATCACCATCTTCATCATCATCAGCATCATCATTATGGCCATCATCAGCATCATCATCATCAGCATTATCATCATTAGCATCATCATCGCACACCTCTCAAACGTTTCGAGGCCCCATAGGGAACTCCACCGAAGGCCACAGTGCCACCGTCCACATGCGTCCCCCCACCAACTTCGGCACACCCCTCAAGCGTTTCGCAGCCTTGGAGAGAGCTCCACCGAAAGCCCCAGTGACAACGTCCACATGCGTCCCCCCCCCCGTCTTCGGCACACCCCTCAAGCGTTTCGTGACCCCATAGGGAGCTCCACCGAATGCCCCAATGCCATCGTCCGCATGCGTCCTCCCGACCCACTTCGGCACACCCCTCAAGCGTTTCGTGGCCCCATAGGAAGCTCCACCGAAGACCCCAGTGCCACCGTCCACATGCGTCCCCCCGACCCACTTCGGCATACCCCTCCCACGTGTCGTGGCCCCAGACGGAGCTCCACCGAAGGCCCCAGTGCCACCGTCCATGTGCTTCCCCCCCACCCACGTCGGCACACCCCTGCCACATTTTGTGGCCCCATAGGGAGCTCCACCGAATGCCCCAGTGCCATCGTCCGCATGCGTCCCCCCCCATCGTCACACCCTTCCAACGTTTCGTGCCCCCATCGGGAGATCCACCGAAAGCCCCAGTGCCATCGTCCGCATTCGTCCCCACCACACACTTCGGCACACCCCTCAAGCGTTTCGTGGCCCCATAAGGAGCTCCACCGGAGGCCCCAGTGCCACCGTCCACATGCGTCCCCCCCACCAACTTCGGCACACCCCACCCACGTTTCGCGGCCCCATAGGGAGCTCCACCGAAGGCCGCAGTGCCACCGTCCACATGCGTCCCCGCCACCCACTTCGGCACACCCCTCAAACGTGTCGTGGCCCCATAGGGAGCTCCACCGAAGATGATGTTCACAACTGCGTTGCTCACAACTGCATATGGTTGGGTCCTTCGCCAGGCTACGTTGACTATGTTTGAATATTCCTCCTGTACGGGGACGCGCCCAACTTAACTCAACATGCGAACAAACATGTTCAAAGGGTGAACGGGTCTGCAGAGTATGCAAGTAAACTTGCCAACGCCGCGAACTTGATTGGCGACACTCTGGGATGTGACGCCCGTCGATGCAGAGTGCTTTCGCATCAGTCGTAGTCGGGCTCCTCTCACAACCCCGAGATGAAGAGACCTACCCGAGCTGGTGTGAAGCCTTTTGTCGGCTAGCGTCCGTGCCGTTTTCGCACCTCATGTCTGGACGTCTGAAGTGGCCTGGGCTGGCATCGTGCCCAAACTCAAATTAATCGGTGCAATAATCAACGATTCAATGGCCATGCCAACTTTCGCACCGATCCATTCAGTCCAAGAAGGCGAGGCGACTTGGAAGCGTCTCTCGATCCGACTGTCCCGATATTTGGGCACGAATTGATGGGGGGCGATAAATGGGGGGGGGGACAAGAAGGGTGCCTTCTCGGGCCTTGAAGGCCCCCCCCCTCTCAGGCCCAAAGGGCCTCCCGGAAGACCAGCCGTATGCATCTTAGGGGTCGAAGAAATCACGACGTCTAGAATCTCCGTCCTTCTCCCCTCCCTCCCGAAGACCTCGTCGCTCCTCTGCAAGCTGATGCTCTCGGAAGCCGCGCAAAGGGCGTGGAGCCTCTGCAGGAAATCAGCGATGCCAATGGAAACCAGTAGCTCCGCCGCGAGACTCGCGGCTGGGACCATGGACCCCAAAGGCGCCTTGCAACGTGAGAGAATGTCTGGGATCTGCTGCCGGGGCCCCCACCCATCACCACGCGCTTGACAGGACTGTATCGCATCACGCCGATGCCAGAAATAGGGAAGAGATCAAACACAATCGCACAGAACAAGCAAACATGATTATACGAGGCAGGGCGCATTAAATCGCAAAAGCCATAACGCACTGGGAAACTGCATCGAAGGGCGCCCGAGGGAAACCGCGCGACAACTGTGCAGCCCTCGCCCACGGTGGGACAACAACACCTCTCGAATGGAAGAAAAAACGCCATAAACATAAAGCTGTGGCACTCCGCGCGGACGTCTTGGGTCTGCGCTGGGCCCCCCTCCTTGGCGCGCGGAGCGCGCCAGGGGCGGCGCCTGAGGACCCGCCGGGGTGGCCTAGCGCCTAGCGCGCGGAACGCCAACAATTCGTTAAAAGCGTGTTTTCTTCTTCGATCGAAACCTCTTTTGGAAGCCAAGGCCGCCACGAGTAAGCAACCCTGCCGGCATCGACCAGTTGCCGCGGGACGCCGGGTCCAGCACCGTGAGGTTGCCCTGGGCCGCGGGGGCGTGCTAGCCAGATGCGAACCCGTCGCTGCCCTCGCCCCCGGACGCCCAATGAGAGGTCAACAGTCTACACCCATAGTGATCACCCCCACACGCGAAGTCGTTGAGTGAACGCGCCCAAGGAAGGAATCGAACAGGGCAGGGCTCTTCAGCGAACGCCCATGGCCGTGTAGTAAGCGCCAATTGTCGGGTCCAGGTGTTTTTCCCTCCCTTGGTTGCTCCTGCTGCCAAAAGGTGCACGCTTCGCCTCGGCAGGCTGATATCCGATCATGTCCAAGCCTCCCGCACCGATCCCTCCCCGACCCCCCGTTTCCCCCCCTTCCCACCACCCCCTTTCCACTGGTTGAGCCAAAACCGAGTCCGTGGGACAATTGCTGGCCAAGTCGCTATTTTGTTTCCAGGTTACCCCGAGAAACGATGGTGCCCCCCCCCCTGGGAGAAACATCCTCGAGTGGGGCTGGTCCTCCTGGTCCTCCTCTCGTATCCGTTGCAAAAAAGTCTCCTTTGTCGCACAATCGGACGTGTCCGTAGGCTGCCGGGCGGCTCGCTTGAGAATTCTTCTCGATGTTTTCCCGAGGCCAAACAAACCCAAGCAGTTACATGGATGAAGGGCCGATGACTTTCACAATGTGGCCCTCGCCATAGCAGTGCGCACTCCCTGCGGCCGGCCTGCGAGAACGAGAATGTCACCTGACCAATTCCAAGCTTCATGAGTTCGCCATAGCGAAAGCAAAAATTGCCTGGCGATCGCCCACGATTCTGCGAGCACCGGATAAGCGGCCGCTTTCGTCCACTCGTGGAGTTTTCGTGTCTCTTCGCCCGTGGCCCGCACCTTGGCCTGGCGAACAAATGCGGGAGTGAGTTGTTTCACATTGCGTGTTGCTCGTACTCGACGGACGATTTGCCCGTCTGGCGGGCTCTTTTTGCCTCGACCATGGGCCTGTCCGCGGCCACGCTTCCCGGGAAAGAATCCAGACGCCCCAGCGCGGTGATCGCAGCTGCCAAATCCCGAGGCGCGGGAATTATTTGTGCGCCCCGTGCGCTACAGAGCAACTGCAAGGCGAATGCGCCGGCGCGCGCGCCGGCGCCCCCCGCCGGCGAAACCACGCGGCCATCTGCCTCGGGGGGGGCTGCTGCCACTCGTCCCTCTTCGTGCGGTAGTTTTTGCGGGGCACGTCCGCTTCGCCGTGCCATTGGCGCCGGGTAAAGTTGCGACAATGCCTTAGTAGTTTCTCCACGAGCTCCACCGCGCAGGCTGTGAGTGGTGGAGTGATGCTCTGCGCCTCGGTCGCCGCCAATCCGCCCAGGTCACGCGTCGACGGGAAACCTGTTTCGGCCAAGGCCGCTTTTTGAGCTGCCACGTCCGCGCCCGAAGTGGTTTGCGCAGCCGCGGCGCGCGCCGCGGCGGCCAGACTCGATGCCGGGCCATCGCTGCTACAGCCTCTCGCGTGGACCTTGCTGCGCGGCTCTGGTTTGCGGATTCCGGCGCTTCTCGCGTGACCCGACGCAGACAAACGATTGATGGCGCACATTTTCTCTCGCGCGCGCAAACGATGGCCGCAGCGCTGTTTCCTTCGGGCGCGCCAGGGCACGTCTCGCGGGAAAACCCACGCCACCTCGAGAAAACCATTTGCAACTAACGCACGTCGCTGCTCTGCCCTGGCTTGTGGACGAGTGACGAGTGGGTGCATCGGCCAGATTAAAAGGTGATGGCACGTGCCAGATGTGCGACACATTGCCATTGCGTAACAGAAAGCCACAACTCGCCGATTAAATCGCCCCAAACGCCTGCATGGAACACCCGCGCAAGAGGGCCCCCAACGGGCTGGCATTGTCTACGAAAGCTACAATATCCAGGTCGTCTGACACAGAGCCCACCAAAACCTTGAGGACGCAAACCGCTGCCATGAGCTCCCAGGTGCCTGTTTGGTCTTTCCTGTGATGAACCAACCCATTCCTTGGCAACTGCTGGGGCGTCGGTTGCTGCCCGGGCCTGTAAAACGGGGGCGTGGATGGCCCGTGCCATCCGCCCGTGGCCCGCGGCATCCGCGTAGAAAGGATGCAGCGGGTTCGCTCTGAACGCTGCGCTGGCGCGTTTCGCGGCGGCGGCCCCCGTAGGAAGCGCAGCCGCCGCTTCAAGAACAGTTGCGCTCGCCGGGACAGTCTGCGTCGCTTGCCCGCCCCGCGATGAAACATCGCTGCTAAATATGCACGCGCGCGCGCCTCGGCCAAAACGGCGGTTGCGCCCCCGCTCAACTTGCCCGCGAGCTTTTGGGCCTGAGCTGGCGAAAGTGATCGCCGCTGCAATCCTCCCCAGATTTCTGCGCACCATTTCTCGACCCTCTCGGCTTCGAGAGCGCAAATGATGAGCTGTCTGGCGTCGTCAAAGTGAACGCCGACTCTAAGAATCACTGCGCTTGCACCCCGGGTCACCGCCTGCCGGCGTCTACTCCCCACGCGAGCAAATCGGATATCACAAGCCTTGCCAGACGCGCTGCGCCCGCAGGACCAACGAGAACACCGCCGTCGCCAAGCAGCGACTCCGCCGCGGCGTCGCAGGCGAACACGTCGTCGAGAAAACGCAACTACAGCAGATAGGAAAGTCGGGGCAAGATGCCCTGCGCTGCCAGGCCGAAACGACCCCAGCCAAACACCGAGGCGGACGCCGCGAAAGGCAAGCAAAGCAGCTGCAAAGCTCTTGCCTTTCTCTGCTGCCTCGTACCAGACGGCGACTGCGAGCGGAAGATGACCGCCGCGGATAGGCAGAGATTTAAAAGCGTGTTTGAAATCGTCTTTTCTCTACCTGATCGCAGCGCTCTGCTTGCCATGCGCCATGTGGCGCGCCAAAGCAACTAGACTATCTAGAATATAGTTTTTTCTATGTGCAATTGCACTGTTCACCGGCGGGCTTGCGACGTCGTCGACGCGCCTGGCCTTCGGCACCTGCGATTCAGACACTTCAGCCCTGGGCTACCGGAAACGTGCAGTCACGACGCGCAAATTCACACTCAACTCTTGAAAGCGCGCCTTGCCGTCTTCGACCTCCTGATTGCACGCCTGGAGAAACTATGCGCGGACTTCGGCGTTGCCGCTGGGTTGCGCGGCAATTCTGCCAATGATCGCCTGGTTCCGCTCGCGCGGAAGGCATGAAAGCGAGCGCAATGTCTCGGCTGGTTCCTGAAACGCGCTTGCGCTCTCGCGCAGACCACTAACAGGTAATTTTCCAACGAACGGGAATCCATGGCAAAGATTGTGAAACAGATGCTGGTCGGGCCAGCTGATTGCGTCTAGCATCTCCTTGAACCGCAAAAGGTTCCTCTCCGGCCCGAGCGCCGACCGACAGTGAACAAGCGCACGTTTGTTTAAACGGCGATTGCCATTGAGGGTCGGTCACCAGCTTTCGCTGTCGCACAAACTCTAGAGCAGAGCACCGAGCGGCCTGCAACTCTCCGGCCGACAGCGTCGTCGACCGAGCTAGAGAAATGCTGAAACAAAATTGACAGGGATGGCGCATCATCCACTGCTGGCAAGTGGAGCGCCCGCTGCAGACGGTCCAAGGGGCCCAGGCGATGCAAATCATCACGCATTTTAAACAAGAAGCTGCTGCGCGGATTGTCCCTAGCGGGGGATCCTCAAACGAGGGCTGCGTAGACCTTGAACGGGTACTTGTCGCAGAAGCCCTCTCGGACCCGGAATCTGCCGACTCTGCTCTCGCAGCTGGATCGCGACCTTCGCGCCCCACTCGAGGAGGTGGCCCAGGAACGAAGCGGAGCCAAGATGCTCAATCTTGTTCGCCATCGCCCGCTTCTTCGTGGCCTCGAGGGCCTGCTCGACGCAGTCGTCGCACGAGCCTTCGGAGCCCTCGACGGCGTCGACAACGAGTGCCCGACTCCACTTGGGTCGGCGGTGGACGCGCAAGCGCCCCCCCCGCGGAGCCAACCCACAACCGAACTCCGTCACGGGCGATTTTGTCCCGTTGCCTCGAAGCGCTGCAACTTCTTCTGAAGGAAGAGCGTCTTTCGGCAAGCCCTGCAGACCAAGCTCGTTGACGCGATTTTCAAGTTGAAAGTCAATCCCTTCGGTTGCCCCTGTTTCAGGGCCGCCGTTCGCGCCTCGGCGAACTGTTTGAGTGCCCCCGCAACGTTGCCGCGGCCAGGATCTGATCCCTGCGGGGCTCCGGGCCCGCCACTATTGGCTTGCGCCTTACACTTTGGCTGCACTTTGGGTGCGAGCGTCACCTGGGCGGGGCGCCTTCCGCGTTTTCCACGGCCCCTGCTCCTCGCTGGCGCAAGGCACCTCGTTGGCCTCGATGTTCGAAATGATCAGATCGCGCACGCGCGCGCGCCCTCCAAGTCTGAAGGACACCCGCAGCCGACGGTCTCCGACAGGAGCCTGGCCATCGACATGTAATGGAAGACGGCGTGCTCCTCCTTTGCCTTGGAATCGACTCCCAAAAGGAAGTCGATCCAGGCGCGCGCGGCTGGTTGCTCGGCGCCGTTGAACGCTCCCGACGGGGGACCGTTCGTCACCTGGTTAATCTCGGCGTCGCTGAAGGACATCCCTTCGGATACTGATCTGACGGCACATATGTGTAGTGACATGCAGAGCGCCTCGCTGCTAGCCGGGGGCCGTTGATTTGAGCCTCTACGGCGGCGGGCGGAGGAAGGGGGGGGGAGTTCGGGGGGGAGACGATACCCTCTGCCCGAGACAAGGGCCGCCACAGCTGGATTCGCAACCCGCTCTAACTCCACTTGCCCGGCCAACCTGGTGGATGGCGACGAAGGCGCGCGAGCGGAGTGGCGACGAGAAGCGCCGGCAGAACTGCGGGGGCCTCTCTCGCCCTGCTGGGCTCCAGCTGGCCCTGCCGCCCAGAAGGGCGCCAGAATGCCCTCGGCGAATGCGCTGCTACCAGACGCGAAAAGAAGGAAGAAAGAGGGAGGAAAGGAGGGAAGAGGGATGAAACGAAGCTCCTGAGGTTGGTAATCGGGAGGTCCCCGTCGGGGTCCGCTCCCACGAGGTCGCCCCATATTGGGGATGCCCCTTTCCTAAGCGTCGCTACAGCGACCCACCGAACACTCATGCACCTGAACGATCATGTGGCCAACGTACGTCGGCACGCATGAGAGGGGGGATCCACTTTCTGGACCCCCCTTTTGCGGTTGCCTTGCCGGCCGCCTTCTGGGTGGATTTCGGGCCAGCCACTTTCTGGGCTGCCCCCCGCATGCCACGCCGAAACCCATCTGGGTAGCAAGGTATTCATTTCCCGGATGCCCCTTTCAAGCTCTTTAGGGCGCCGTGCCCGCCATGGCGGCGCGGTCTTGCGCCGCTCGGCACGCAAGCCCGGAATGCTCTGGAGTACTTGTCGCCGCCGACATGCACCCCGGCAGGGGGGTCCAAAACAGGATCCCCTCGCTCAGTAGCCGCCGTCGGCCTCACTTAGGTAGCAGGTCGCCAATTGCCGAAACCTCCCTGCGTTGGTAGTGCCAAAGGGCGCGTGGCCCAGGAAAGGCGCGTAGCCTGCAAGCGGGCGGGTGGCCCCGCACGGGAGCGTAGCCCGCGAACGGGCGCGTGGCCCAACAAAGGCGCGCAGCCTGCAAACGGGCTCGAGGCCCAGCAATGGCGCGAAACCATCAAACGGGCGCACGGCCCAGCAAAGGCGCGAAGCCTGCGAGAGGGCGCGTGGACCCAGCAGAAGCGCGTAGGCTGCAAACGGGCGCGAGGCCCAGCAAAGGCGCGAAGCCTGCGAAAGGGCGCGCGGCCCAGCAAAGGCGCGCGGCCTGCAAACGGGTGAATGACCCAGCAAAAGCGCGTAGCCTGCAAACGGGCGCGCGGCCCAGCAAAGGCGCGAAACCTGCGAGGGGGCACGTGGCCCGGCAGAAGCGCGTAGGGTGCAAGCGGGCGCGAGGCCCAGCAGAGGTGCGGAGCCTGCGAAAAGGTCACGTGGCCCAGCAAAGGCGCGAGGTTCGCGATCGAAAAACCAATCGTTTGGTTCACTGTCGCCACGGTTGCCTTGTCCAGGTTATCCGCGGCGACCTGTGGACGTTGGCTCGTTTTCTGGCTCGCCGTCGGCCACCGCCCCGTCGAGGGTCTTGCGCAGAGTCGCGTGGGTCTGCCCTGTCCAGGCAAGGGGCCCGTCCCTTGTCCAGGGACTGCGGCTGCCGCGTGGGTTTGCCTTATCCAGGCAGGGGCCCTTTCCTTATCCAAGAACTGCGGTTGGCTTGGGTTTGCCTTGTCCAGGCAGAGACCCGCTCCCTATCGGGAAGCCGAGCGTTTGCCGCGCGGGCTTGCCTTGTCCAGGCAAGGGGCCCGTTCCTTATCCAGGAGCTGCGGCGGCATTTGTGGGTTTACCTTGTCCAGGCAGGGACCCGCTCCCTATCGGGAAGCCGAACTTTGCCTCGTTGATTTGCCTTGTCCAGGCAGGCACCCGTTCCCTTATCCAGGAACTGCGGGTGCCATGGGTTTGCTTTGTCCCGCTCCCTTTCGGGGAGCCTAGCGTAGGCGCGGGCGCCTAGTACACAAGGACCTTTTGCCCTTGGCTTCCCTGGGCGCTCCCCGTCGGGGAGCCGAGTGAAAGCGCGTGCGCCTGGTCCACGAAAACGATTTTCCCTTGGCTCTCCTGGGCGGCGGCGGCAAAGCGGCGCCGGCTGCAAAGCGGCGGCAGCAAAGCGGCGGCGGCACAGCGGAGGAAGGCGGAAAGGCCGCATGCCCACAATTGTGGGCGGAAGGCGAATAAGCAAAACATGCTAAGGTCCGGGAGCCCGCTCCTCGCGATTTTCCTGCCCCAGAAACCAATGATTTAAGGTTTACAAGCATCGACTTGCCCTCCATCCATGAAGCTGTGGCAAACTGTTGAAACACATGTGCGCGGCGCTGAGGCGATAGCCACATTTTGAAAATGGACCGCCGTCCATGTGCGAAACTGCTGCAACTTCTAAGCTTCAGGATCATAAATAGTCAGGAAGTCTCATGCGAAACGCCTCTCCCGCCCAGCCGACCAGCTGCAGGATGCGACAGGGAGAAGTGTGTATGAGGAAACGGGATGAAGGAGAAGGACAATGTAGGAGGAGGAGGAAGAGGGGGCTGAGGAGGATGCGGCGGAGACGGAGGCGGAGGAGGCGGAGGAAGAGAAGCTTGAACAAGGACCGACCGTGCTGGCATTCCTATAGGCCTATCGCGAAATGTGCTCAGAAACGGAAAGTAGGGAACCGAACTCTATACACCGACGCTTGTTCTGGACCAGCACCGAAATTCGCACAGGAAAACGCATCCTGGTGTATACGGGACCCTGGTGTATATTTGTTTCGCTGGTTCCTGGGAAACGGGAACAACAAGTATACACCACACCGCCCCGACGTCGTCCCCAACCCTCAAAAATCATGGGATTGAGAAGCGGCCCGCCACTGGCAATGTATATGTCCCAGTTCCCGAGAGAGTGCTACACAAACAAAACAATATTCTCAGAACGTGAAGCCGCTCTGTTGAAACACGAAGGTCTCAGCTGGAAATGCTGTGAGAACATGTCGTGCAAGCTACACGGGGTTCTTCAAACGTTCCTTTGGGGCCTCTGGACACGCCGGGACGCTTCGACACTGCTTGATGGGCAGGGGGAAGATCGGCTACACGCAAGAGTGACCCTGGGTAAGAGTGACCTTTGGTGCGCGACTTTTGGGTGGCCGCGGGGGGGCCAAATCCAGGCGCGCAAGACGCTACTGTCGCATCGCGCTCGGTGATCGGGAGACCCCATTGGGCCCGCACCAAGGCCACTCCGGCGAAAGGTCACTCTCACGTGTAGTCGAGAAGAGGAAGGCAGGGCTTGCCGCGCGGCCTCGCCGGTCAGCTGCCGCGCCGCCTGGCGGGGGCGCGGCGGCGGCGGCGGGCGCGCGGCGGCGCGGTGGCCGCCTGCGCCACGCTGGCATCGGGGATGGACAGACCCCCCTTCAGTAAAACGTGGTTCAGTGAAAGCGACCTGAGGCCCCAAACCCGGCGGGCGCGAGCCTGGAACATGGCGGCCACGGCGCCCTCTCGAGAACCGAAAGCGGACAGTTCACTGATCGACGTGCCACCGTTGGGGGCCTCTGTCCCCCCCCGATGGCAGGCCCAGATGGTCTGGTACCGGAAATTTTCGGTAGCGATTTCGACGCACCCCGAATTTCGGTAGCGACCGGATCTTCGTTTGAGGGCGTTGAAATAACGGATTTCAGAACGCTCTGATACCGGTATTGGGCGCTACATTTCGGTATTTCGGTAGCGACCGATCTCTGCGGAGCGCTACCGGAAATTTTCGGTAGCGGACCATCAGGGCTGTCCCCCCCCGATGGCAGGAGGGCGGTGGCGCCGGCGGCGCGGCGGCTGCGACGATGCCGATGCCGCTGGCCATCGGCGGCCCGAGGGCGGGCACCGGCGCGCGGAGCGGCGCCGGCGGCGCCGCCACGGGGGGCGCCCAGCGCAGGTCCAAGAAATGTCCGCGCGGAGCGTCGAGAGGTCCTGTCTATGGCGCTGTTTCCTTCTCCTCGGGCGGGCGCAGATGGTGGGTGGCCCAGGTGGGGGGGGGGGGGGCAAACATAACAGCGCCCTCGAGGGGCCATTTGGGGACCCCACTGGGCCCCTGCTGGCGCCCAAAGGGGCCCTCTGAAGTATTTTTCTCCACCCCCCATTCGGGTCACCCACGACCTCTCCGCTCCGCCCAATCTTCGATCTCTCCGCTCCGCCTCCGCCCCCTGGTCGACGATGCTCGTTCGATGCTGTGCACCGCAGGCAGTTTTTGGCTCGAAGAGCTCCCTGGCGGGGGCGACGCGCGCAGCCTCCTTTTGTCCTCTCGCTCGAGGCTCGACGCGGCGAAACTTGAGCAGGCCTGCCACGAAAACTTCTCAGAACCCCAACATGTTTAAGAACATAGGGAACGATCTTAGAACATGAGCCCGACGCGTCAAAACAAGGCCGTCTCAGCCAGAAATGTTCTAAGAACACTTCGGGCAGACCACGAGAGGTTCTTAGGACATTATTTGGTGGGCCTACAAAGGCCTCCTGGATGGGGTCCGAGTCGATGGGGTCGGAGGATCGCGCCACATCGCTAATGCATTGCCGAAGCATCGGCGATGCATCGGCGATGCAGCGGTGACGTCGGCGATGCGTCGACGCCATCGGCGTGAAGCAAATCGGGCTCCGCACCGAGCCGCATCGCCGATGCATCGGCGATGCGACGCGATCCTCCGACCCCATCTACTCCAACCCTGTCCATGAGGTCCAGACGATAGGCGAGCCAGAAATATTATGAAAACACTTCGGGCAGACCACAAGAGGTTCTTAGACCATTATTTGATGGGCCTGCCCATCGGTCGGAAGAAACAGGTAAAACCATGAACCACAATGTGAAGGCGGAGAAAGCAGACTGGGCCGAGGCCCCCCGAGGGAACAACAGAACACCGCAAACGCAGATCGATCCTTGACGTAGGAAGGCGCTAGAACAAGATGAGGTTCTGGGCATCCAAGAACACCTGCTTTCAACGACCCATGGGCCTAGGCGAGCAGGGACGCTTCGCCACTTCCTGAGACTTTGGACGCCCGAAATGGGTACGGAAATAATGGGTACTATGCCCAACAACCAATGTTGTCCCGAACCAACAGCGGCCGCTGTTGGGCAGGCGGCCTTCTGTCTCGAATGGACACAGGCCGCGGCGGCGTGGACAGCGAACCCTGCTCAAAAGGAACAGGAACTGCTGTTGGGCATTGTACCCATTCTTTCCGTACCCATTTCGTGCGTCCAGGGTGCAAATCATGACCGGCGGCATGTGCGCGGCCCAGCGGGGGGGGGCCAGGGACGTAATAACAGAAGAAGAGGCGCCACGACATCTGGGGAGATATCATGGCCCGCGCCATGATATCCCCCCCCCCCTAGTCATCACCCCCCTCTTTTCCGCCCCCGAGAACGCCCACTTCCAACGACCCCTGGACACAGGCGAGCCGGGACGCTTCGCCACTCCCTGAGTCACGGCGGCCCGCCTCCGGTGCCCGCGCGCGGCATGGCGGGGCCTCGGGGGAGCGTGCCGGTGGCCTGCCCTGCCCTCGCCCTGCGCCTTGTGCCCCGTGGGTGGCTTCGTGTGGGCCTGCCCTCGCCGCGCCAGGAGGAGGGAGGAGGAGGGAGGGGGAGGGAGGAGGGAGGGAGGAGGAGGAGGGAGGAGGAGGAGGGAAGGAGCGCGGGCGCGGGCCTCCAGGACGCGCGGGGGCACGTAGCTCTGCAGCAGCGCGTAGGCCCGGGCGAGGACCGAGGCGGACTCCTCGCCGGCGCGGGGCGTGGGCTTGGCTCTGCTGGCGCTCGCAGAGCGGCGGTGGCCTGGGCCACGTGGCCTCGGAGAAGAGAATGAAAGCACAGCGTACAGGGCAGGTTTTAATACATAGGATTCTTTAATAATATTTTCAATAATGATCAATTGACTAATAAATCAATGCATCAATTCATGATTGTTTTTAATACTCAGTCCCTGTATTTTCATACATGATCCGCACGCGGAGCACGTATTAGACACGGCACTGTGCACGTAAACTTTTGGCACTCCGCGAGGATTTCTTGGAGCTGCGCTGGGCCCCCCCCCCCCCCCGGGCGCCGGAGGATCCCAAACATCCGCGCGGAGCGCCAACATATTATGTTTATGCTGTTCTTTTGTTGAGGAAAGGGAGAGGAGCACATCTATGTATACACATCTACACACGCATCTGTCCATATATATATATATATATATATGTGTGTGTGTGCGTGTGCATACACACCGGAACCACGCGCGCTTCGCGCGCGTTGAGATTATAGTAAATTCTGGTTGTAAAGGGTCAACCATCGGGACAACAAACATCGGGACAACCGTCTGGACAACCGTCGGGACTTCCATAGGGACATCCATCGGAACAACAGTCAGGACAACCATCGGGACAAGCGTGGGGACAAACATGGGGCCAACCATCATGTCAACCATCGGGTCAACCATCGGGACAATCGCCGGAACACGCCCCAAGAGATCCGCGAGGACAAACGTCGGGACAACCATCGGGACAACCATCGGGGACAACCAACCGCGACCCACCTCCAGGCCCAGAGCGCCTTATTTTGGTCTGACTTGGCCTCCACCAGGGCAGGAACTCGCGCAACCTCGCCTCGCCTCGCCCGCACGCGCGTCACGCACGACCCGAACAGAAAACGAAACCGATGTCCCAATTGGGCGACTCCGTTTCACTCTGATGTCTCACCCACCAAACCTCCGATATCCAGAGAGAGAGAGAGGGATGGAGAGCGAGAGCCAGAAGGAGCGACTGAAAGGAATAGAGGAAAAAAAGAGAGAGAACAAATGAGAGAGAAAGAGAGGGTGATCTATTTGTAGCTACGGATATTTATGCAGATGTGTATGCACGTGCATATGTATCTACATGCAGACACACATATATATATAATATATTATATGTATAAATATATTATATGATATGTAAATATGTGAGAGAGCGTGATCCACCGCCACTTTACTGTGGAAAATTGCCAACCTTTTCCTCCGGAACCCGGGTCCCCCCCCCCCCCCCTCCGAAAATCCCCCCCCTGCTGGAACCCCCCCCCCTCCCCCCCTCTCCCCCGGCAAAACCCCACCCCTCCCCTAACCCCTCCCCCCCCCTCCCCCTCGAAAGCCGGGGGGGTCACTACCGGTTCGAACCCCTCCCCCCCCCCCCCCCTCCCCCTGGATCCGGAAAACCGGGGGGGGTCACTACCGGTTGGAAACCCCCCCCCCCTCGAAAACCGGAGGGGGGTCACTACCGGTTCGACCCCCCCCCCACGCACCGCCAGCAAACGACTCCCGGTCCCTACCACCGCTCGCATCACATCCCCCACTGTTGTTCCCAGCACCACTGTCCTCACCACCACTGTCCCCACTGGTTCCACCACCGTCCCTATTGTCCCCACCAGTGCCCCCACCACTGTCGCACTGTCCCCACTGTTCCCACAACTGTTCCCACCACGGTTCCACTCTCCCCACTGTCTCCACGGACCCAACCACTGCCTATCCCCACTGTCCCCACTGTCCCACTGACTCCTCCGCTGTCCCACTGAGCTGTCCCACCCACCCCTGTCCCCACTGTCCCCACCACTGTCCCCACACCACTGTACCTCTGTCCCATTGTCCCACCGCCGTCCTCGCCACCGCCTTTACCAGTGTCCCCACCACCATTGTACCCTCCACTGTCCCAGTGTTTCCACCTCATTCCCACTGTCCCCACACCACTGTCCCCACCACCGCCGTTCCCACCACTGTCCACTGTCCCCCCTGTTCCCACCATTGTCCCCACCACTGTCCCCACCACTACCGTCCCCACCACTGTCCCACTGTCCCCCCACTGTCCCCACCACTGTCCCGCTGTCCCCTCACCACTGTCCCCACCAACACCGTCCCCACCACTGTCCGCACCCCCACTCGGTTTTCGAGGGGGGGGGGGGTTCGAACCGGTAGTGACCCCCCCCCCCTTTTCATGATGAGCTGGGGGGGGGGGGGAGGGGTTCGAACCGGTAGTGACCCCCCCCGGTTTTCCGGAGGGGGGGGGGGGGGAGGGGTTCGAACCGGTAGTGACCCCCCCCGGTTTTCCGCCAGCAGCGGTAGAACACGCTCTTTCAAATATGTGTGTCTGTATGTCAGGCCTTGATAAGGTCACTGCTCCACTGAAGTAATGGACCACTGATGGTTTGAACGGGAAGTGAAGAAACGCCCACAACGCTGAACGCATTATGGGCAGTGAGAGATCCATGCATGTCAATCCGCATTCCGGAAGGCTTTTGGGGAATATGGCTGCGTAGGGGGGCGGAGGCCTGATGAATATGGTTCCCAGAAGGCCTCCTGGGAACATAGGTTTGGGGGGCGTCTTGGGGGGTCTGATGGGGGTAATGTCGTCGTCGCCTCTTGGGGCGCGCCGTCGTCGTTATCGTCCTCGTCCTCGTCGTCGTCGTTTCAAGAGGGCACTTGGGGCAACTTTGTGCGAAACGATCCGCGGAGGGCCACGAGAAGGCGATTAGTCATGTTCCCAATCAACTTCCCAAACAGCTCTCCGGTAGCGCGATGGTACTTCGGAGCCTCCGGAAACTCTCGGGCCCATGATACACCATGTCCCCAGAGGACTTTCTGGGGACACGATTTGTTGAGGTGTGTTGGGGGGCCTCTTGGGCGTTCCCTGGGGGCCCCTTGGGGGCCTCTTGGGGCTTCCTGGGGGCCTCTTCGGGCCTCACTGGGCTTCGTGGGGGGCCTCTTGGTGGCATCCGGGTGCCTACTGGGAGCCTCTAGGGCCAGAGACCTCGAGATATCAGTTCGCGGTGCCCTTCTGGGCCCCCTCTTGGGGCGCTCTTGGGGTACACTTGGGTTGTCCGGGGAGCCTCCTGTTCCGTCTTGGGGCCCTCTTCGGGGCCTCGCCGGCCGTTTTGGAGCGATCTGAAGGGCCTCCGAGGCCGTGAGGGAGCGCTGGGAAGCGGGAAAAGGGAGAACGCACAGATCCTTCAAAAACCATAGGAAAATACATTAATTGTGCCTCCCAAGGCTCTCTTGGGGAGCCTCTTGACTCCGTCCTGGAGCGCGTTGGGGTCCTCGTCGGCCGCCTTGAGGGCATCTTGGGCGTCTTCGGGGCCTCTTGGGAAAGTCTTGGGCCCTCTTCGGACCCCCTTAGCACGTCGTGGCCTGTTTCGGGGAGGGCCCAGGCCGTCTCGCTGCCTCCTGAGAAGCTTTCAGGGCGGAGTTCTAATATTCGACTTCTTGTTCCCCCTCGTGGGCCCCTCTGGAAGCCTTCGCGGGGCCCTCTTGGGCTTTCTAGGGCCCTCTGGGGCGCCTCTTGGGCTGTACTGGGGCTGTTCAGGGCCGTCTTCAAGCCGTCTGGGGGGCCTCCCGGGTAGTCTTGGGGCGCTCTTGAGGACCTGTTGGGCCGTGTTGGAGCGTCGGAAAGGTAAAAAGGCGATCAAAACCAAAAACATCGAAAAACACAATGGACAATCATCGATGTTGGCCTCTCGGGCGCTTCTTTGGAGCCTCTTGGGGCGGCTTCGAGGCTTCTTGGGCTGTCTTGGGGCCATCTTGGGCGTCTTCGGGGCCCCTTGAAGCTTTCTTGACCATCTGTACGGCCCGCGTGGCCTGTCGCGGGCAATTTGGAAGCGGCCCAGAACAATCCTGGGGGGTCTGTGACACGCCAAAGGTCCCAGGGGTCGCCCATGGGGGAGGGTGGCACCGGCCCGCTCCTCCCCCGGCCTACTCCGATATATGTATATATATGTATATATATGTATATATATATGTATATATATATACATATACATATATGTATATGGCATGGATAGATACAAACGATCTATATATATATATATATATATATATGGAGAGAGAGAGAGAGAGAGCGAATCGGAAATATATGAAGACAAAGACAGAGGATCGCTGCCAGCTTGGATGGGGTCAGCGGATTTACAACAAAAACTTGACATGCATACCCATCGGTCGGAAGAAGTAGGTAGAAACATGAAGTAGGAAGGGGTTGGAAGAAGATCGGGTTTCCGCCCGCCTCCTGCAGAGGACGGAAGAGGGACAACACGCCCGACTCTTGAAGTAGGAAGGCGCTCAGAGAAAATTGGCATCTGGAAATCTCCACAAATACCTGCTTTCAACGACCGATGGGCAACCTTCCGCAGCACCGTGCGGCGGTCCTTGCCTCGCCGCTCCCCTTCCCGGGGCAGGGCGCCCGCGGAACCCGCCCCTCTGGCGCGCCGCTCCCCGCGCCCCGGGATGGGGGCCCGGCGCGCCGCGGATCCGAGGGCACGCCGCGCGGTCGCCTGACGGATGTGTGCTTATGCAGCCTGCTCTGTTGCAGATGCTGTTGTTCGGGGATGGACAGACCCTCCTTTAGTAAAACGTGGTTTAATGAAAACGACCTGAGGCCCAGACCTGGCGGGCGCAAGCCTGGAAGATGACGGCCACGGCGCCCTCTCGAGAACCGAAAACGGACAATTCACAAATCGACGTGTCACTGTTGGGGGTTCTGTCCACCCCTGAGTTGTGGACGTAAAAGGGCCCTGGGAGCGGCAGGGCCGTTTTTCCCCGCTTGCGAGAAAAACGTCCCTTGAAACCGGAACGGTGAAAGCACGGCGACCAGAAACGGCAAGATAGCGGCATTGTCATGGCATTCACAACTTGTGGACGCCGTGGCAATGGACACCCTCACAATCCGATCATTGAATTACAGATATGTTTCAGATGCTAGAAAACTGTTCTACAAATGGTGAAGCCATGTTAGTAACATGTTTAAAATATGTGTGCAGCATGTCTTAGACATCTGGAAACTATTTTGCATCATGCTTCCTCTCCATTGATCGTCGTCCACAAAAATTTTGGCGATCAATCAGAAGTCTGGGGGAAAGTCCGGTCTCTAAAAACGAAACCAGGACGAGGACGATTGGGGTGAGGATAGCTAAATCGAGAGTCCCTGAGACCCAGCGGCTCTGGAGGAGGTATCGGGCGTCGCGGCCTCCTCAGAGCGTTCCGGAACGGATTCATCCTCATACTGGCCCCGTCCGAGCCTCGCCTGTGATTTCACACCCCGTGACACGTGCGGGGCCAGCCAAGATGGAGAGGACCCCTCACGCGGACCAGCGCGAGGGGTGCCGAAAACTGAAGGCCAGCGCTGTCACCTGTCAGGGCTAACTCCGTGGCCGGAGGAGGCTGGTAAAGACGACTCCACAAAACCAAAACCTCTTTGATCCGCGGGTCGAGAGCGAGCCTCTCCCGAGAGAAGCTAAGCGGGCCACGCACAACTTCAATTAGCAGAGGGGGGGGGCAAAAGAAGGCGGGCCTCACGTCAAGGCCAAGACTGGGCAAAGCCCTGGGATCAGGCGGTGCCGAAATCGAACAGCAAGGAAAGGTACGCCTTGGACAGGAACCCGGTGGCGAAGTCCCGGGAGGCGAGAAGCGCACAAAACCAAAACACCCAAACCCATGACCGTGGACTTGAGTCGCAAATCATAACGGAATCCTTGTGCGCACCCTCCAAAAGACAATTGTATGTTAAAGCAATCGTGCAATTATCCTCGACCTGATCTCATCAACTCGACATAAACGCGGCTTTGAGGACAGTGGCAACTGACGATCTGATGTGCGAGCCAAATCCGGAATCCCACCAGCCCTCTGGGCGTAGGTGGTCTAGAGAGACTCCTCTTCCAAACCCATTCTTCCCCTTCGGGGAGAGGTTTATCACCGTTCCTTATTTATATACACCCCCTCCCCCACCCGGCTGGCGTCCAACCAGGAACCATGCCGACTCCAGGAGGGCCCGCTTCCCACCATCCCTTTCAACAAAAACAATACAAACTGCACTCTGGCTCCTCATTTGGAGCATGCGCAGCCAACCCGATGCGGCCCCCCCGCCATCCCTGTCGGAAAAAACGCAAAATACACTTTGGGGCAAAGTCTCGAGTCATGCTTGTGAGGCCCGCGAACACTTCGTATTGTTTGTGACAGGGACGGCGGGGGTGCCAGCATATTCCCTGCCCTGCGCAGGGCTACCATCCCCGACGAAAAACAATACAACGTGCACCTCGCGGCTAAATCTGGATCATGCGCGGCCATCCCGCGATCACTGCCAAACGGTTTTTGACAGGAACGGCGGGGGTGGTGGCGCGTGGACTGCTGTGCGCAGGCCCAGCAGACACAATGATGGGCATTGGTTTCCGACAAGATGGCGGGGGCCACCATGGCTCCCGATGTGTGCTGTCACGTGCGCAGGCGCGCCTGACGCACTCTGCACGTGCCCCGAACATGGCGCACCTGGGGCGGCTGGAGTATGCGGCACAGCTGGCGCACTCGGAGCACGTGGCGCATCTGGCGCACCAGGAGTGCCTGGCACGCTCGGGCCCCAGGGGTGCCTGGCGGGCGTGGCGCCCCTGGCACGCGTGGCGCACCTCGCCCAATCGTCGCGCACCTGGGGTCGGCTTTGGTTCCCAGTAGCTGTCCATTCAAAGACGAGCGCTGAACATGCTCAGGCTCCGGTGTTACTTCTGTGTTGGGAGGGCGGGAGGCAGTGAGCTAGACGGCTTGCGGGCGGGTGAGTAGCTTGACCCCTCCCCCTGCACCCTCCCCTGGACCCGGACGGAGCGCCCCGCGAGCGGTCAGAGCTAAGATGGCCCATTACGGCTCCAAGAGGGTCTCAGAAGAGCCCAAGATGACTTCCAAGACGGCCCCAGATGGCTCGGTATGGTTCCCAAGATGCTCCAAGAAGCCTCAAGACCCCTCCGAGTAGCCAAGGAGCCTCCCCAGGAGGCCGCCACGAGACCAACATCCTTCACACACCTAAGGAAAATCAATGATGTGTGCCTTCTCGCTTTTTCGCTTCCGATGGCCTTCCGAGGCCTCAAGACAGCTCCAAGAGGGCCCTTGAGGGCCCGAAGAGGGGCCCAAAAGAGCCCCAAGACGGCCCCAAGAGCGCTCCAAGAGCGCCCCAAGAGGGGCCCAAGAGGCGATGTTGGTGGCTTCCGAGGGGGAAGGCTAATTCAGGAACCCCATTTCTTTGCTCGAGCTCTTCCAAGATGTCCCCAAGAGCGCTCCCAAGGCTCCCAAAAGCGCTTCAAGAGGGCCCAAAGAGGCACCCTGGAGGCCCCAAGAGGCGCCCAAGAAGCCTCCAAAAGGCTCTCAGGAGACCTCCAAGAGGCTTACCGCCAAGAGGCCCTCAAGTGCGCTTCAAGAGGGACCCTTCCTCTGTGTGCTGTCTACTTCCCTGATCGAGGCAGCTCCTCTGGGCATCGTCTCTGGATGGGCTGGTGGTGTTACGCGAAGCATCAAGAATTCACCTGAGTGGGAGCGTGCTGAACATCCATGCTCCCAAATTGTTCCTCTTACGTTGGGCTGTCCCTCGAGAAGACGTTCCCATCGACAACTGCCATGCAAATCTCGACATGGTCGACGCCAAATGAGAGAATATATACCGCGTCGCGCGTGCTGGTCCAATTCGAACTGGAGGGGAATATCGCGTACATCCGCGCGCTCGCTCAACATTACAAGCGCCTGGTGCAAAGAGAAGCTCGGTCCAAATCTTGTGCGCCTGTGTCATCGCTGAAATTCATGATGGGCTCCGGTACCACGGGAAACATCTCCAGAGTCTGTGCCGCGCTCAGGGGGATGCGGATGGGTCTGGACACTACTTGGTGAAGCTTCAGAACATGTGCGCTTGCCGCCCTCAGATCCGTCCTCGTGCAGAAACGACATGTTTCATGGTCAAGCGTCTCGCGGGTGCGACGCGGGACTTTTTTCCTACAGGACCGCTTTTTAAGACACTAAGACATGTCCACTGCTCCGAATTGGTTGCCCTGCCTTTTGCGGATGAAGTGGGGACGGGCGACAAATGACGCGCCTGGAACCGAAGAGACACGCGAACACACAAAATGCACAAACCACGCACCAACACGCAGACAAAGGCGCACACACACGAACAACAACAACAACAACAACACCACCACCCACAACAACATCAACAACAACAACACCAACAACAACAGCAACAGCAACACCAGCAATACCACCACCACCAACAACAACAGCAACACTACTAACAACACCATCACCAACAACACCACCAACAACAACACCAACGACAACAGCAACCACCAACACCAACAACAACATCACCGACACCAACAACAACACCAACACCAACAACAAACAGGTCAACCACAACAACAACAACAACAATCATTTTAATATTGTCCGTTCTTATCTGACTGCGTGCTGTTCAACACGTATATCCCGAACCCTCGGTACTACCCACCCTCTTCGTCTTCGAGTGTATCCCCTTGGGGGATTTTTTTCAGCACCTAAGGCAACACTTGAGGCAGGGGACCTCGGCAGCGTGTATTTCGTGCTTCGCCTAAGACAGGGGAAGAGAGGACGGATGGAAGGGACACGGTGGAGAGAGCAGGATGATAACGAAAGAAAATACCAGGACGGGGGCTAGGAACTGAAAACACATGGCAGAACCAAACGGGCTGATCGGGCGGGTAGACCCTAACAAGCGGGCCCAAGCGGCCAGGTCGAGCAAACGCGGTGCTGAAGCGTGCGTTTTGCATGAGTCGCGAGGAAACCTTGATGTGCGATTCCGAATTAACTCTCGTGGGGGAGTCCAGAGCGAGATGTGATTCCTGAGTGTCGAGGGCGCGGCGCCTGAACCAATCCCACCAACCCTGTGGGTGTCGGTGGTTTAAAGCGAATCCTCTTCCACCCCTCCCTCTTCCCCTCCGGGGAAGGGGTTTATCAATTTTCCGTATTCATGAACACCTCCTCCCTCAGGAGACTGGTAGCCAACCCGGAACCATGCGGGCACCCCCCCACCATCGGCGTGTACAAACAAAGCCATACCAAACACACTCTGCTTCCAAATCCGGCGCATGCGCAGCCGACCCGATGCGGCCTCCTCCCACCATCTCTGTCAACAAACAATACAGCGTACACTTGGTGGCGGCGGCGGCTGCGGCGGCGGCGCGGCGGCTGCGGCGGCTGCGGCGGCGGCGGCGGCTGCGGCGGCTGCGGCGGCGGCGGCGGCGGCGGCGGCGGCGCGGCGGAGGCGGCGGCGGCGGCGGTGGCGCAGCGGCTGCGTCGGCAGCGGCTGCGGCTGCGGCGATTTGGCAGCGGCGGCGGCGGGGGCGGCGCGCACCCCCCCCAACCATACTTTAACAAAATATACCAAACACTCCATCCAAATTCTGCGCATGCGCGCCGACCCGATGCGGCCCCCCACCACCATCCCTTTCAACAAAATACAGCGTACAGTTGCGGCGGCGGCGACGGCCGCGGCGGCGGCGGCGGCGGGGTGGCGGCAGCGGCCGCGGCAATTTGGCAGCGCGGGCGGCGGCGGCGGCGACGGCGGCGGGTGCGGTTGCTGCGCGGCGGCGGCGGCAACTGCTGCGGCTGCGGCGGCGGCGGCGGTGGCGGCGCGGGAAACGGCGGCGGTGGTGGCGGTGGCGGCAGCGGCTGCAGCGGCAGCGGCTGTTGCGAATTTGCAGCGGGGGCGGCGGCGGCGGCGGGCGGCGCGGCGGCGGCGGCGGGCGGCGGCGGCGGCGCGGCGGCGGCGGGCAGCGGCGGTGGCGGCGGCGGCGACGGCGACGGCGGCGGCTGCGGCGGCGGCGGAAACGGCGGATTGACCCCCAGCAGCTGCCCATCCAACAACGACTGCTGAATATGCTGAGGCTCGGGCCAGACTCAGGTGCTACGTCTGTGTTGGGAGGGCGGGCGGGGAGGGGGTCTCGACCCCTCCGTCTACCCCCTCCCCTGGACTTGGACGGGGGGGTTCGCGACGCGCTGGGGCGTCCAAAACGGCCTCGGCGAGAAAGCCAACATCATTGGTTTTACTACGGTGTTGGCCCCATTGTGGCCTTTAGGGGGGGCAGTGCTAATTGAGGGAGGGGCCCCCCTTTTTCGATCGATGTCCTCCAAAATGGCCCCAGGAGGCGCCCAAGAGGCCACAAGAGGCCCTAATATGGCCCCATGATGGCCCCAAGAGGCCTCCAAAGGGCCCCCAAATGACCCCAAACTGCCCCAAAGGGCTTCCCCGAAGCACTCAAGACGCCCAGGAGTCCCTCAGGAAGGCCAAACGACCCCCAAGACGTCACAACAGCCGCCCAATGGGCGTCGTTTCTGGATGGGTTGGCGGGGATACACCAAACGTCCAGAATTACGAACAATTCCAAATCGAGAGCGCGATTCTTGAGTGTCGAAAGTGCGGCGCTGGAATAAATTATTGGGAAATATCAATCGAAAGCGCGATAATTCGATACATTGTAAGGGAGCCCCTAACGGGAGCGCGACTGTTCAATCAACTGCAAAGAACTATCCGGCGGGAGCAATTGTTGTTGTAAACCGGGTGCCAAAGGCACGGTTTGAGATGGATGATTTCGTTTCGGAAAAACACAGCGAGCCCCGGGAGGGGCACTTCAATGGAACAGCACTTGTGTCACGCGAGTGCGCGGCGTGAATCTAGCAGCATTCGCAAGGACGTTTCGGGCGAGAGCGAAATTCCCAAGTCAATTATGAGGAAGTCCCTGGCGAGAGCGCGATTCCTGAATGACGAGGGCGCGGCGCCTGAACAGATTGCGAAGAAGTCACAAGCGAGGGCGCGATTCTTGGATACATTGCAAGGAAATCCCGACCGAGAGCGTGATTCCTCAGTAAATTGAAAGGGGATAATCGGCAAGCGTTGTTGACGTAGTCTGGGGGCCAAGGGCGCAATTTGAGGAAGACCTTCCCTGATGAAATTATCCCGGCAAAGCAACCTAACAGCGATGTGTAGGAGCATATCTGGAAGCATTCCCCTTAAGATTCAGATGAGAATCCAGTTGTAGAATTCTGCTGTTCTCGCAGTCGTAGTCGCATTCGCGATGACAGTCGCAGTGGCAACGGCAGTCACAGTCACAGCCTCAGCCTGCCTCAGCCTCAGCCTGCCTCAGCCTCAGCCTCAGCCTGCTTCAGCCTCAGCTTCAGTCTGCCTTCAGCCTCGGCCTCAGCCTCAGCTGCCTCAGCCTCAGCCTGCATCAGCCTCAGCCTCAGCCTCAGCCTGCCTCAGCATCAGCCTGCCTCAGCCTCAGCCTCAGCCTGCCTCAGCCTCAGCCTCAGCCTGCTTCAGCCTCAGCCTCAGTCTGCCTTCAGCCTCGGCCTCAGCCTCAGCCTGCCTCATCCTCAGCCTGCCTCAGCATCAGCCTGCCTCAGCATTCAAAATGTAGCCCGGGAGTGGAGTTCTGGGAACTCGAAGAACACGAAGTGGCCTACAGTTGGCTCCGGGCATTCAAAATCATGCCCAGGAGTGGAGTTCTGGGAATTCGAAGACCACGAGTTGCCTACAGTTGGCTCGGGGCATTCAAAATGTGGCCCGAGAATGGAGTTCTGGGACCTCGAAGAGCACGAAGTGGCCTACAGTTGGCCCCGGGCATCCAAAATGTGGCCCGGGAACGGAGTTCTGGGAAGTCGAAGAGCACGAAGTGGCCTACAGTTGGCTCCGGGCATTCAAAATGTTGCCCGGGAATGGAGTTCTGGGGACTTGAAGACCACGAAGTGGCCTACAGTTGGCTCCGGGCATTCAAAATGTGGCCCGGGAATGGAATTCTGGGAAGTCGAAGACCACGAAGTGGCCTACAGTTGGTTCCGGGCATTCAGAATGTGGCCCGGGAGTGGAGTTTTGGGAGGTCGAAGACTACGAAGTGTGCGACTGTTGGGTTAAAACGACTTCTGCGGCACCCTGTCCGGCACCCGCCCAGACCCCCCTGTGGAGTCATCTGCTGCTCTCTTTTGACCCCACTAGAAACCTATCAGAACAAGCTGTTAGGTAAAAACGGAGTGCCAGCCCCGGGAGGGGTACTTCAAGTGAAAACCGCATAAAGAGTTGAACAACAACGCCAGCATAGCAACGACACCAACACCAGCACCAGCACCAACACCAAAACCAACACCACCACCGCAGACAACAACAACAACAACCACAACCACAACCACAACAACAACAACAACAACAACAACAACAACAACAACAACAGCATCAACAATCATTCCAAGACTGTTCGCTCCTACCGGCCCGCGTGTCACTCACTATGCATATCCTAAACCCTGGGTGCCCGCTTCTCCTTCTTCTTTTTGTTTCTATCGTGCCCCCTTCGGGGGGTATATTCCTTCCTGGCAAAGTGTAATTGGAGAAGCCCCTAAACAGGGAAACGAGAGGGAAAAGACAAAAAGGGAGGACGAAGGGATCGGAGGAAGGGAGGGATTAGAGGGGCAAGAGGGAGGGACGACGATGATTCGCACCGCGAATTGCGATTCAGCTTGCGCCGTGGCCTGCGCCAGCCATTCCAACACAGGTTAACAACGGTTTAGCCATGGGTCGCGCCATTAACAACGCCATGTAACACCTCTCGTGCTGCTGGGCGAGGCGTTCGAGGTGAATGTGGTGCCCAATGCCATCACATGCGGTGCCCGATGCCATCTCCTAGAGCGCTGCCGTGCCAGAGTGGGTGAGGGGAACCAGCAGGGGCCGCGGGCTTTGTTGATGCTGCACGACATGCGGCAGTCACGGCGAGCGGGGGAACCGCATAGTGGTAGCTGGCCGCGGCGCTGCTCAGCGAGA